CATTTTTATATGTGACAAAAGCGAGCAGTAAAATGTATATAAAAAAAAAAAGATGAAATTGTACCATTGGGACGTCGATGTAATGGTTACGGTTACCGTTACGGATCAGACAGCGGCACAAGTCATCAGTTTTTATGTCCTTGCTGCAGTTGCAGTTGCATCGGAATCGGAATCGGAGTCGGAAAACAGGGCCCGAAACCCCGACGCATGCATCATGTTGCTGCCTGGCTGATTGCGGCTGCAATTGTCAAAATGTAAATGCGGCCGAAAGTTAATAATCATGCCGAAGGGTGGCCATCTTAAATGCAGAATGCTCTCAGCCATTTAAGATTCGTGCAGCAATGGGTTTATACAATTCTGGTTTTGCCTATAAAGGAGTAATTACATGCAAAGCTTTAAATAATATCAGATCAGGTCACATATCATATACATTTTGAATGACCTATCTGCTAATAAAAGGTCAAATCCTGTTGTTCTTTTTTTTTTAGTTAATTTCTTTGTATTGTGAAATAAATCCTTTATGTAGAATTTAGGAATTTTGTATCCATAACAGATTTTATTACTGTGGATTATTTTTTGTACCAATTTATTGTTTTACGAGCCCCACAATTTGAATTTATTTTATGTTGGGTCCGATTGTCTTCATGTCCAGTTATTACCGCCAAAAGCCTGCTGATGAAATCAAAATATGGGAGAAGTATTTTCATAACCAGCGCCGCACACACACCCCCACCCACACTCACACACACACACACACACACAGCGAGTTGTACACTGTGAAAATCCAGGGGGAGGAGAAGTTTACAGCTCGTTTTTGAGGTACGCAACGATTGTCCTGCGGCGGCCTTTTGGGCCCTCCAATGAACATTTGAAACGAATTCGGTTCGCATTCCCATCCTCCTTTCTCTTTTCTCTTTTTTTTTGTATGCTTTATTATTTTTTCGCCTTTTTCTGGTATAAATTTCATTTTTGGTATGTTTAGAACGGCCAGCGGCATATTTTATGTACAACTTCAACACTCTGCGTGTGTGTGTGTGAGTGAGTGAGTGTGTGTGGTATCGCACTGCATTTATGTATGGGTTTGTGTGCGTGGACGGATGCCTTCCACGTGGGTTACTTAATATACAAAGGCCTTTAATTTCGTCTAAAGCTAAATAAACTTTATACCCTTTGGTATCTGCCGCACATCTATTCGCATGTATGTATGTATGTATGTATGTATGTATGTATGTGTGTATTGCGTATACACCTGCGGTCATGCCGCCACCAAAGGACCTTCTCCTCCATGTGTATGTGTGTGTGTGTTTGATGTTTGGGCTGCGTTCTTTGGCGTTCTCGCTCTGTTTTGACTGTGTCTGCCCCTCATGTTGTTCTCGTTGTTGTTTTCGTTGTTGTTGCTGATGCTGTTGTTGCAATGTCCTTGGGCGCATATTTGCATGTTTTATTGTATCTGCTGTTCTCCCAGTTTAGGCCAGCACCCAACTCAACCCCCGCATTCCCTTAAAACCAGCGCCCGAAGGCAATCCACCGCCCTCAGTACGCATGTACCTATGTTTTTAATTCTTTACATCGATATTTGGCCGCTGGCAAGTCAAAAACGCGAGCCGCTGCCAAAGGTTGATTGCGGCACCCAAATGGGAGTTGGGATGGGAGGTCAGCCACCCACCATCTCCCCCGTTTTTGGGCAGGGAAAAGCGGACAGCAGCGCGTTAGAGGCAATTTTCCTCAAAATATTCATGATATGTGGGCTACACCTTTTGTTATGCATTTGTTTTGATGTTGGAATCTAACCTTCGCCGTCGGCCATTCGCCACATTATTTGCACTACTTAAAGCGGTCACAAAAACTGGGGAGGGGGTAATGGTAAATTAAAGCCCGATATGTGGAGGGTGCTAATTAAAAGAGTGCTGCCTGCATTTGGGGGCACGAGGACATCGCTTCTTTGGCAGCTCCACATATTTACACGCTAGTTTCCCATTACCGGGATGTCTTGCAGTCGCAGTGCGATTTTTAATTTGCGTTATACGAGGAGTTTCCTTTTGCCTGGCCCGCGGCTCACATGTGAAACGGTGGGGGGGGAGCAGAAAGGACAGGCTCTGAGGATGAGAAAAGGATAAAGAGACGATGGCAAGGAAGTGGCAGGTGCTGTAGGAGGAGCGGGGCTGCCAAGGGGAAGGGGGAGGGGGAGGGGCAGGGGAAAGGGGGTGGTGCTGAGCAGTGAAGCATGACACGCTGGAGCAGCAAATGTCACGCTTCACTCATTTCCGTCCCATGATGTCGACGTCGTCATCATCATCGTCATCATCTTATTCGCCATCGTCATCGTTCTCGCTGCCTGCTGATGAAGCTCAATGGTTAGTGGCAGTCAACCAGGAGTTTCCCCTCGTCATCCACCACTTCCTCCTCCATTGGCAAAGAAAACCACATGACAATATTGGTAGGTAGGCTGCACAGTAAGAAATATTTCCCAAGAAAAGATTCCAGCTCGAAAAAATTCCCCTATTCGTAATTCGACTATTCCTAACAAATTATTTTAATGCTTTTGATGTCTTATCTTGAATTAAAAGTAGGTATGCTCTAAAAGTGAAAATAACTGATTATTTTACCAATTTTGTATATTAATTAATCTGAATTTAATGGTATGACTATAGAATGTTTTGCAAAATATAATGCAGAGTCCGATATAATTTTAATGTTAGCCCATGAACTTACATACAATTTTAAAACTACATAAATTTTATGATTTTTGTTTTTTTAATAGCAGAATATATAAAAAAACATGAGTGGAAAATAAAATTAAGTAAGATAAATGTGATTGAAGTGTATTCCAAATAAGATCAGTTGAGTTCTTATTCCTTATAATTTTTTTTGTTCTGTGCAGGAGGGCAGGGGAAGCGGAAAGCGGTGGGTGGTTGGGTGGGCGGCTTTTTGGGTGTCAACGGTACCCCTTCTCCGCCACTGTCCTCGTTCTCGTTGCGTTTCTGGGTAGGCAACCTCTCAGCCGGAAGCACTTGAGAACTTGCAATGGCCAGCGGGCATTTTGTGCGGTTTCGTGCGTCGTTGCCCCCGTTCCCCGTTTTCCTCTCCACCCCTCCCTCCTCCCACATTTTCCCCATTTCCCCCCTTTTCCGCAGGATCCTTGACGACGAGTTCGCGAACTGAAAATTCCCTTCGTTTTCATTATGTTGCGGCCATGTTGTCCTTGCCTCGGCCTCGGCCTGGTCTCTCGGCCTGCTCCTGGCTGCTGCCACTCCTGCCACTTTTGCTCCTGCTGCTGCTGCCTCTGCTGCTGCTGCCTCTGCTGCGGTTGCTCCTGCCGATTCCGCTGCGGAATGCTCCTCCATCGTGGTTCTTTTCAGAGACCTCGCCATCATTATTATGAACACCGTTATGCCTGCCGGGCATATATTCCAATTTGTTGTTGTTGCCGCCGCTCTTATTCCTCCATCGCCAGCGGTATTCGCCTTTGTTGTTGCTCCTCTTGGTGTTCTTATATGACCGCCAAGTCTCTCTCGTTCCCTCCATACCCAGTACTGGGAGTCAGGGGTCAAGGGTATGCCAGATTTGGGAACACTCGAAACAAAACAAAAACAAATTACTATTTACCAAATGTAAAATAGCAATAAATTTAATAGGAGCTTGCTTAGCATAGAGTATAATGCAAACATAACTAAAAGTGAAGTGCAATATATATTTGTAATCTAGTAATACAAATTTCTCATTTGTTTATTATTAAAAATACTTTTAATTGAGATAAATGCATATATGAATATAAAATCTTGAACTTATATGACTAAGAATAAATTCAAGCAGGGGTATCCGCAAGTTGCATTCCACTCCCTTCTGAGATTATTTCACTTGTTCCCTTATTTTCGTTTATTTTGCCACATTCTGCAGCATTGCAGTCGCGTTGACAAAAGTCCTGATGCCTTCGCTTCGTGTGCTATTTATGAGTAATAAGAGGCAGATGACTGCCGGGGTCTTGGCAGTTCACTTACCTGTTGTGACTGCTGGAGATTGGCCCTGCTGCCGTTGCCGTTGCGCCTGCACAGCGATTGCTAATAAATTCTAGATTTGGATGGCAAACCGCATATGCAAATAAATAGTTAGGCCAACTAACTGGCCGTGGACGCCTGCGAGCGCTGCAAGAACAACAGCAATAATAACAATAATCGTGCCACATTTAGATAGCGCACACAGGGAAAAACGCTTTTAGCCAATTGAAGAGTTTAAACATTGGGCCAAGTATGAAATTTGTTTGCCCATCTTCCACCCAACCCCAACCCCAACCCCAACCCAAACCGAAATGTTAAGTTGCCGCAGTGGCTGCTTATCTCTGGCTTGCAACATTCGCTTGGGGCAATTTTTACTTTTTGGGTTTTCGATACGAGAGCCGCTCCAGCAATCCCTCCCCCGCCCCTCCCCCATCACTCCCCCATCCTTGTTGTTTTTGTTGGAGGACCACGAGCTGCTGCCCGAATGCAGTTGGCCTCCTGGGTGTTTGGGTGTGCGGGAGTGTGTGGCAGCCAGGTATGCGATCGTGAGTCGCATCACAGAATCAAGAGTAAACATATACAAAACTGATCGCTCAAAACGAGGAAGGAAACCAGATTCGAAAAATGCAAGTAGTAAAAAAGAAGAACCACAGCTCGAATTAGGCTGTTTGAATGTTTCTATATTCTATATTATTCTATATACATTCAATTAATACAACATTTGATATGTGTTTTTGATTTTTAAATTAAAAAAATATTGTGTATACATTTTTAAGACAATGTCTACAATTTTATATTGATTTCTTTTGTATTTTTGGTCTAGTGAGCTGAGCTGTTTGGTATTTTTCGCGTCCCAATAAAAATCATTAATTTTGTAATATTTGAGAGGAATGAGCTATACAATTCACCACGATGAGTGTATATTTGATAATGAGCTATATAAGTGGCCCTCACTGAAAATCATTAATCATTTTGTGTTATAAAATGAGGTTCATCACATCGGCATTAGTTTTCTTAGTTCTTGCGGCGATCGAAGTATCGTCCACTTCACTAGAACGAAATTGTGGAGTACCAGCTTCCCCGAGAAGATTTCGGCGGATAGTTGGAGGACGTGTTGCTAATAGATTATCGAGTCCGTGGATGGCTCTAGCTCTAGGAAATTATACTCGTTTCTGTGCCGGCACACTGATCAACAGCCGTCAGTATTCCGACTCGATCTGTTTGTTCGCTTAGTTTAACTTTGTCGTTTATATTTTGCAGAATTTGTGTTGACTTCTGGTGTTTGCGTGCATACAGTGCAGCCTAAGTAAGCTTAATACTGCTAATTTTAAATAAAAACTAACATTTTATTACTTCCAGAAAAGTGGTTTTAGGCGTACATGATAGAAACTGCACGACGGAAAATTGTTTGTCAGAACAAATGGAAGTTAATATTCACAGAATTGCTTACCATCAGTTGGACGATAATTCTTCCCCAGTTTCTGATATAGCACTGCTTCAATTGGAAAATTATGTTCATTTCACGGGTAAATATGGTATAATTAACAAGAACTATCTAAGCTAAACACTTTTATTTTAGACTATATCAGGCCAATTTGTCTCTTTCCTCCCCCTGAGAAAAGGGAGGAAAAGTTAAAAGACTTTATTGCCACTGGCTGGGGAAACACTCGATCGGGCCACCTTAGCAGTGTTCTAATGACAACCTCTCTCCAACGCTTAAAGCGCAGAACATGCGAAAGTTATTTTAACCAATTTGTTGATTCCCAACTTTGTGCTGGGAGTAAAAACCACGACAGGGACTCTTGCAGCGGGGATTCCGGTGGTCCGTTGAGCGCACAGCTAAACCACGGGGGAAAAAAAAGGTTCTTCCAAATCGGCATTGTCAGTCTTGGAACTTCCACCTGCAATGGCATTGGAGTCTACACAAAAGTGAGTTACTTCAAGGACTGGATATTGCAGACCGTAAATGGAGCTCACTCGAATTGAGTCGCATTGTCCTATAAAAGCTCATAAGGATTCGAATTGCGGTCTTAAATTGTTTTGGTTTTTCTTGAGTTACTTTGCAATTAATACAATATTGACATAAATAATACTAATGGCATCTGTTAATTGTTATACCTGCCTTTATCCACATTAATAAAAGCTCTAATAAATCTAGAAAATAGAGATTGAATGTACATTTTAATGGAAGGTATTGAAGGGGGTCTGCACTCGTGTCACGTTGCCACTTTTGGCGTGTGTTAAGTTGGCCGTAAATACTTCTGGCCTCGCCTGGTGTTTGGCATTTGGTGTCTGCAGTCTGCCGTCTACTGTCCGCTTTTTGCTGCCTTCTGCCCAAGCGACTGGGTAGTCGGATACTCGAGCACTCGAATACTCGAATATTCGGATACTGGGATACTCGGATACTTGGGTGCCCTGGTGTCTTACCGTTCCCCGCTTTTTGGCATCTGCTCTTTAGCCCTAAGCTGGGATTCGGTCGCTCGTTGGCTCGTTCGGTTGTTCGTTGCCTTATGAAATATTTGTGCAGCAACTTTATTTACAATTTTTTCGGTTATTTATTGTTGGCAATTTATGCTTTCGTTATGCATTTTTCGTTTCTTGTATTTGGTCAGTTCTTGCATTCTGATTTATCGGTATTGGTGTGTGCTCTTGTGGGCGTATGTGGAGCCCTATTCGATTGTGTTTTCCACATTGAAATCAGCCCATGCACGCACACATTAATGGCCCAAATACAAGCAAATTGTGAAAAATCTTTTTGGCAGTCCTGCTAGAACTTCGAGTGAAACTGCATTTTTATTTTAATTGCAGCAAGTGCTGCTAAGGTTGCAATTAGTTGTTGCATATGAGAAAAGGTCTTAAATTGGTGTGTACTTTATGGGACCTTTAAAAATGTTCAGTCCGTAAAATTAATCATGCAAATGTTATGTTCGGGCTTAAATTAGTCGTAAAGCAAACACTTTATTAAGTTGTAATATTTATAACAAATTTATTTTTCAACAAAGCCACTATTTAAATGGTTACGATTTTACTTGGTATTTTAAACGTATGTATTTATATTTCATTTTCAATATTCATGATGAATTCTGGGCAAACTCTTTCTGGCATTGTTATTTCGGCTTCGTGTTTTAGCCATGGACAAGCTGCAATCAAAATCAAGGCACTTGAGAGATATTCCCTCAAATTGAACATGACACATTTGTTTTGCTTCATCTGTGCCTAACGAAGGTTTTTAATCTCGGTGCTTGATGATTGCTGGATGGGAAATGATTCGGCCAAGTGCCAATAAAACTCAAGTTGAAAGGCAATTCCACAGAGGAACCAAATCGTTCTCTTCATTTTCTGCTGGGCGGTGTAATTAAAGTTCCAAAAAGAACAAAAGCCAATGAATCCCAGTGAAACTCTTAAAATCTCCACTTGATTGAACTGCATGATGGTACAGATACAGATACCGATACAGATACAGATACAGATGCTTGTATCTGCATTTGTAAGTACTTTTCGAGTGCCATTTGTGCAGTGATTTTATGACTTTTATTCTCTCCGCTGGCCACATAAATTCCGTACTGTTTTTCTTTTCACTTTTGTTGTTATTGTTTCGACAGTCATCATATATCAATGTCGTTGCAAATTGATAATGGAGTCCAATGCAATGCAATGCAATGCAATGCAGCGACAATCCGACTGGGTATAAAAATCAAAATCTGGCCGCTGGGCAAACATTTGATCTGACATTTGTTGTTTTCTTGTCTTTTGTCTTATTTATGTTTATTTACTTAATGCCAAGCTATCGTATTTAAATCAAATATTTGACTAAAATATTATTTCTCATAATAAGAAAAATGCCCAAGAGCCTTCAGGTCAATATTTCTGCGTGTGTGCGTTTGTTAAATTTAAATGGAAAATAATCAAGTTATCGCCCGCTGAGGTTGCCTGTCAATCTGCGTTTAAAATGCCTCTATACGGATTTTTGCATTTGCCCCACCCACCCCTTAAGCCCCCCTTTGCCCCACCGCCTCCCATCGGCAACTGCAATCAAAATTGCAAATACAATAATATGAAAGGCACAATGAAATAAATTGAAATACCTCAAGCTATGTAAATGGGACGGCTCCAGCGACTGGACAGCGGTGTCCTGGGCACGCACACGGTGACCCCCAGAGCGATGCACAAATACCCACCCGTGCCCCCAAACCACCCACACACACTCCGAATTCAAGCTGGCCGAAAGGAGAAAAGGTTGCCGACCTTCTCTTCTGACTTTTACCGAGCTTTTGGCCAGCGAGTTTGAGCCTTAGCCCCATCGAACTGCTTTTTTATTGGTGAATAAATCGGTGTTTTTCTGTGATTGGCTTGGCACTGATAAGCCGCTTTATTTATTAAATATTTATATGTATTGAAAACACAAGGTGCTACAATAATTGGATTTGTGTTAGATTATTTCTTATCAACAATGTCGACCATAAATAAAAGTTCAAATATATATTTCAAAATGAAATCTTTTGGAATGTACTTTCCATTATGGCCTCCTTATTACCTTGTTGAATCTCCTGTAATTATAATGGGCTAGGGTATTCCCCCTTCGCTATTGACTCTGCGGTCAGCCATGTTCCTTTATTTTTATTCTGGTGTTGCTGATGGGGATCTGGATCCTGTGGCTGGTGGGACGGCCTCGTAATCAGCATTTGTGGCGCTCGAGGTCATTCGTAAAGTCTGCAGGCATTCTCCGAGCCGCCGTCTTCGTTGTTGTTGTTGTTGTTGCCATTGTCGTTGTCGTGTTGCAGCAACACCAACAACAACAACAACAAGAATAACAAGAACAACAACAACGAGAGTTCCGTATGACGCCGCTTCATCTTCCTGTTTCTGGCCGCTGGCAAAGTTCTGGGTTGGCTGGAATATTATAATTACAAGCGAAACAGGCCCCAGAGCTCTGCTCTCCTCTGTTTCGGCCCAGGCATCAGCTTTGGCTTTGGATTGGGCTTCCACTGAAGTCGTAGCTGTGTCAGTGCACTGGAAAAAATGTAGCCTTAGTTGAGAGATAATGTAGAAGAAATAACTTAAGTTATCCATCCAATAAAAGTTTTATTATAAAAACATGTAGATATCACTTAACCAAAGCAACTTTTATAAAATATATCTTTATCTTAACTCATTTTATATTTTAGATTTTGCTATTTACTCAGGTTTTATTGAATTGGTTTCTGAAAGCTTAATGATCATGAATGCTATATTATGTGATATGATTCTAGGAAGAACTTCTCTATTTTTGAACTTGAAATAAATGTATATTAATTTTGCTCTGTGCTTAGCTGTATCTAGTGTATTTTGCAGCCATGACGACGACCAGGCTGAGTTGCCTGGCTGAGTGGGAGTGAAAGGGGACCGAGATCCTGAATATCCAAATGAAGTCGAACCAGCGCCGAAGGTGTCCGCGCTGACGTTGTGACAGTTTCAGTTACCGTCTGTCTGAAGGTGCAAGATGCGCAGGGAGATGTGGCAGGGGATAAGAAGAGGGAGAGGGAGGGGGGAGCGGGTAGCGGGGGAGTGTGTGTTGCAACGAGTGTAAGCCGGTTGCATGTGGCCATGTCGTACAGCTGTTGCCACTGCCAGAGCTTGTTGACTGACTGACTGACTGAATGATGCATCCGAAGTGCCGCAGATGAAGCGGTCTGAGCCCGGCTTGAACAACTCTATTTGAAGCGAGGTTCGTGTGAAAATTATTGAGATACATTTCCCCCAGCAGTGAATGGGCACACGGCCGTCGAAAACGAAAAGTACGAGTATCTGCGGCTCTTCCTTCTACCGCTCCTCTAAGCGGCGGACATTGGCGATTATCTTGTCCACGACTGTGAAACAAATGAGCTAATGCCCCAGGACATTTGCCGCATTGTTGCTTCACAGAAGATAGCTTTCGGTTCGTATCCGTATCTGTTTCTCTCCGTTTTTCAAGGCAATGGGAAAAGAGTTCCCACAACAACTCCTATACGAGTATGTGAGAATATCGCCCTCAGTTCAATCGCCATCTACTTTGGTGGGGGCCTTCGAGCCAAGTTGGCTTGCTTGTGCCCTGGGAGGCTCCAACTATATTAATGGCTTCACTAATGGTCGGCGGGTTGGAAGTAAAACGAAAATGGGACTATCTAATTAACATATCCAATAAAATACAAATCAATTTGGGACTTATTATAAGCTTGGGAGGTTTTCGAATTCATTTATATTTCTTTTGGATGATTTTTCCTAAACTTAAAATACTTAAGTGAAAACCATTTGCAGAATAAGTATTATAAAAATATTGATGAGAAAACATTACTAACAAATAAACACTAATAAAATTCTATATAATTTTACAGTTAGAAGATAAAAAAATATTACCATGAGGCACGAATTGGAAAAAAAAAAACCAAAGTACAAAATTCATATGAAAATTCCATTACTATAGTTCTGATAATAAATTCTGGGAATTACATATTAGCAATGCCGAATTTGAAAACCTTCCTTTGTGTTATATAAATAAATTTTGGAAGGATGAATAATTTGTTTTTGTTTTTATTATTTTTGGGGTTTTTTTTTTGTGAATAACACAAAACAAAACAATTTCAACTTAAGATTTTTGAGTTGGTGATTCACCCAAGAAAAGGTTTTCCTTTCTTCATTCCGGACCCGAGTTGGACTTCGTTGTTGTCAGGCCAGTGGGCAGATTTCATATTCGGATAGTGAAAGAGGAGGACTGAGAATAAGAAGTCGCCCGCAGGCGATCCGCAAGATACCTTTCTCCCCTTTCGGTTCGCAGATACTCTGCATTGTCTGGGTTGTGTTTACGTTGTAAACGGTTGTTGGAACTACCACTTGGCATCGGCAGCATTTAAGCCCGATTTCTGGAGCTCAAACAAGTTCGATGTTGGCTGCTGCCAAGAAGTATCTGTGATTTACGACCTTCTTTAGCCGCTCACAAAAATGTTTTCAAATTACACAAATTTTGCCATACGGGCCAGAGTTGAAGAGACTTTCGGCCGCCGGGCTTACGGCCACGGATTAGTGGGCCTAAGGCCGTGACATTTATCCGATGTCAGGGCAGTAGACAAAGGGGTGGTTGGGTGGTGCGGGGGGGCCAGGTGGGTCAGGTGGTGCAGCTGGATAAAGAATGGCTATCTGCTGTTTTTAAACACCACGCCACTCCTTTGTGGACAATGGAATTTCAATTTGGCGGCGATGGATTGTTTTTGCAACACGCGCTGGCAATTTAAATTTATGCATGTACATTTTCTAATACCACTTAGAATAACAGAAATAATTTATTATTTTTAACACTTTACAATTTCAGCGCATTCTGCCCGCTACTCTGTGTATGTGTGTGTGGATTTTCGGTTCTATTTTGGCAAAACAACAGAGCTTAATATTTGTTTTTCATTTGTTAGCCCGGCACCAACCGACGATGGGACAGGTGGGAAATGAGGGGCGTGGCAGCGCGGAAGAGGCGTTGGAGCGCGAGTTCTATTCAACACTTTGGTGGGGAGCGAAAAACAGCAAAAATATCCGTTTATAAATATTTTACAATAAATATTTCGCCACAAAACTGAATAACAACGAGCCGTTTTATTATTGAAATGCAAAATGTTTGATTAAAACTTCAATTTTCTCCTGCCCCATCAGAATATTGGGGCCCTCAGCAGGCGCATCAGGTAATAGAAACATTTCATCGCCAGTCCCGCGCTTTCCAATTTCGCCAAATATCGCCGCTGCTCGTTCAAATTTTCACTAACATCATATATCAAAATATAGGCCAAGTAAACTAAGGTGGCCAGTAGAAAAATTAAGGTATAAAGGTGATTCTCGTCTGGAAACGCAGGGAACTCAAAACTTATTAGGTTTATACATATTTTCATATATATAATTCTTACCAATTACATGCAATATAAAATCTAGCTGCTCTGATGCCCAGGATTTAAGAACTTCCTTAATACCAACCCCATTATGAATGTTCTTTTGGTTTTTTTTGTTTAAACTATGTTCTGCAATCTTTTTGGGTTCTTGACTTTTAAAGAATGTTCTATAGGTATTCCTCGGGTTTTCGGAGTATCTGAATGGCTTTGCATCGGGCTGATTGTTATATGCCCTTCTGGGAAAAATTCCTTCGATTTTTGGCTGTTTCGTGGCTGTGATTACTGGTTGTTTGCAGAGCGCTGAACTGCTATTCGAAATTTTACGAGTCAGCTAATGGTACAATATATCACGATAAAATTTATTTAATATTATTAATTTTAAGAAATTGCTTACTTTACGGTGTTTGTATTTAAAAGGTCTGAACGATTCCCCACCATGCTCTAAACTTTTTTCTTTTACCTGTTCGGTCTAAAAAAAATATGGTTTATACACATTACTAGAAATCCTCCGAAATACCTACCTTATTCGTGTATCTAGGATTTCTTGTCAAGGTTTTCATTTTAGGTGTGGAAAAGCTTCTTTTTTTGAATATTCCATCAAGTTTTTCGCCAGGCTTCTTCATACTTAGCTGTTCGTTTTGGCGATTGTAGGTTCTCTTTTGCTTATGGCCCAAGCTGAACCCTAAATGATGGTATCTGTCCTGATCGCAGTTCTTTGGTTTTGCCTCTGACCAATCGCTCTCATATCCTCTGGACACATCCTGGTCCAACAGTTGAAGGGATAGATTATAGAGACCCTTAGTCTTTGATCTGGAACAACGATCCATGAGGCTGGGCAATTTTGGTGAGGCAGTTAGATGACCATCTTCATGACTATTAACATTTTCAGTGCTGACTAATCCATCTGCTGCTATCTTCGCTTGGCTGTCATTAACCGAAGTTAATCTGGTGCAAAAAAATATTTTGTATAATAAAATTAAATTCAAATATATTGGATAACTACAAAAATAATTATAAATTATTGTACTGCAAGTGTTAGTATGATTTGCGCATTTAAAAAATATAAAAAAGTACTTACGATTCGGCCTCAAAATTGTCGGATCTGTAGAGCTCGACTATCCTGTTGATGGGGAATATGAATAAATTATAATAAAATCTTCTTTTGTGCTGGCTAACTTACCTCTTTGGGGGTATTACGTGTATCCTCCTCATACTTCCCGATCACTCCCTGCAGTCTGAAGGAAGGAACTGGAAGAGTGAGTGAAATGTATGTAGCTGTGTTTTGACTCGTGTTGACCGAGAGTAAGCCCGATATGTTTTGGCCTTACTTCCATTCCGATTCGAGTGTCAAGGGCTGCTGTGCTGCTGTGCTGTCGACGCCCTGGGGGCACATTTCACACATTTTCGCATTAATATGCAATTAAAGCGGAATAGTTGCAACTAGTTGCAGTTGCACTTGCTGGCTTTGTTCGTTGCGCAGGCGCATGTCCTCCGGCGGTTCTCCACGACCCATCGTGGCGATCGCCAGCGGCGCTCCTTCAGCTTCTATCTCCGGCTGTTTCCGTTCCCCTCCCCCGCGGCCCCTCTTCCTTCTTCCCCTCCCTTTGCCTTCCCTTTTATGCTCCTGCTCCCTTGGCCGCTCATCAAAGCGTCTAAGTCCCGCGGCAACATTAACACAGCGAAGCGCAAGGACCTCGCTGCCTCGGCCGGCGTCGCTGCCCGCCGCAGGACGCTTTTTCACGCAGCGACGCTTTTTCGTACAGTCGTCGTCGTGCAGCGCAAGCGGTTCCCATCCGCAGCTCCTTCAACTTGGTTCCGCACTTAGTACATAAGCCGCTGTACATAAACAGTTGCCCACTGACAAAAACAATTTAGGGAATTAGGGGAACTTTTTGAAAAATGGAAAAATACACTTTAAATACACTTATTTCTGACCTTTATATTTTTAAGCCGTTAATAATTCAGTTTTATATTAAATATTTCCATTTTTTTATTTTTTGACATTTAGGTTGCCCATTAAGAACTCAAAGCGATTATTTCCAACAATTTCAACAAGCTTATCTTTATAGATTTTCCTTGGAAACAATTTGAAGTCTTAATCAACGACAATTTTTTTTATGACTCACTAAACGTATTTAATTCATAAAAATTATTCTTCCAAAAATGTGTTAGGAAAGCATTTAAAAATGTTTTTTAATGTTTCTTTTACAGCTCTCACCAGTTTCTTTAAGTGTAGCCCTCGCCGGCGGCCCTTTGGTATGGCGCAACTAAAATGCAGTTGTTGTTGCTTTTTTCGCTTTTCGCCGTATTTGTCTTTTGTAGCTGTTGTTGCTGTTGCTGCCGCTGCTTTGGAATTGTTGGCGGTTCTTTGCCATCGCCGTTGGCTATTTGAGGCAAGAAGTTGGCCGGCGGCCATCGGCGGACAGCCAAAGCAGCTGACAGCCCGCCAGACGCTGACTTGACTCCGGCTCTGACTTGAAGAGTTGGCCGCCATTCCCTTTCAGGCTTTAATTGCGTTTGAACTTAGTTAAAAAAGTGTGCATAAAAATAAGAGTTCGGAAGTCAAATTCAATTGTTGGCCATTCAATTAGAAGGGGTGAAAGGGGGCGACGAATTATTTAGATGCCTAGAAACGTGCTTTGATTTGGATTTTGTTGTATTCAACTGTCAGTTGCATGCACTTCCAACCGAATGCATTTCCACAGAGATATTCAAAGGGGGCTTTCGGGTGGCTGGATGGAGCAGCTTCGTTTGCTGCGCTTATTCATTCGAATGTTAATTAAATTGTATTTAAACTGCATCGACTTTTGACATATGCCTCGGCTGCGTTGCCTGCTCGTTGAAGCGCCTAATTTGATCAGAGAAAAAGTCTCGTTTGTGAAATGCACATCCTTTGTCTGAGGGAAAATCAGCATTAATATGAATTCCTTCGTGGTGCTTTTCATTATGAATGTGTTGTGCTTAAACATTGGTCTGTGAAATAAAGAAAGTTGAGATAAAAACATGAGATGTTGATCAGTTGTGTTCCTTATTCCTGTATATTTATTCTCTAAAAATTGTTTCTTATTATTAATATAGTTACCTGCATAATTACTCACCTCTAAATGAATATGCTTACATTTCAAGAAAATGCACTCGACATCTTCACAAGCAAACAAAGAAAATGGCAGACAGGAAACGTCATCAGCAATGCGGCATGAGTTCCGTTCAAATTTTTGAATGCGCTTCCTGCTGCACGGGAAATTAAAACGCTGCCTATGCGGCGTATGTGTAATATTGGGGCACACACTCGGAGACAATGCTCCCAATAGAGGTGGCAGCGGTGGCAGAGTGGCAGAGTGGCAGAGTGGCAGAATGGCATTGTGGCAGAGTGGCAGAATAGCAGAGTGGCAGATAAGCGGCGGCGGCTCTTGGTCGCCGTAATCATAATAATAACAATGGCCAGCTCCAGTTCGGAGTCATTAAGCCTCGTTTTATGGCCATTGTGCGGGGGGACCAGCTCCTCCGATGGCTCCTCCTATCCTGTCCGGTCCCGGCCAATTGGTATGCATATTTGGCTATTAAGTGCAGTTCAGAGAGAGTGTGCGGGCGAAAGAGTTATCTTCAAGCCACTAAATTGCGGCCGATAAACGCGGCCAAAGCTGCCGGAATTATAGACGGGGGAAAAGGAGAGGGGTTGAGGGGGAGGGGGGAGGGGGGGTATGGGGTCTAGCCAAAAACTTTTGGCTACCCCAACCATCGTATCGGCCGAAAGAAATTTTAATTAAATGTCGCCGCAAACGATGCGGTAATATGCAACGAGTCGAAGCGAATCGAAGCGAACCGAGAACCCATCGCTGGTGTCGCCGGCATGGGGGCATTATTTTAGCGTTCAATATGATTGCGGCCTCACGGGGCATTCGATTCGGCTCAATTTATCACAATGCCAGAGCAGAAGCCACAGCCTGGAAGCCAATGGCCGGTTGGTCCGCTTGACCAGAAATCAGCATTTTGAAATGAGCCTCATGCCGCTGTCAAGCGACTCGACTGCACTTAATACCGTTTTCCGACTGCCGTGAATTGCATTTCATGTGTCAGCGTTTTTAAGCGCTTTTCCCCCGCAGCGTTCTCGCTTGGGTGTACTCCGATCTGGGATTGGGGATCTGGGGTCTGAAATCTGGAATCTGAAATCTGGAATCTGGGATTGGGGATCTCCGATTTGGGGTCCGTCCATTGAAGGCTAATTTATAGAGTGAGAGCTGCGAACTGTGAGCTGCTGAGCTATTTAATAATAAGCAAACAATGCGGGAGTAATGCGAAAAGAAATGGAAAATCCCTTAGCCCTTGAACTGCCCTGGGTTATTGGATGGGTTGAATGGGTTGCATTTGGGCGGCGTTGGAGGTCACAATCACAGTCGCGCTGCAGCGCAGGGTGCTGAAGATTCACAGTGTTCGTTGGCAAGGTGAAATTACGTCAAGGGAATTTCCAAAAAATTTTAAATGTCACGATCTGCGACTCAGTAAAAAAAGCTATTAATATATTTGTATTATACCTGATAATTATTAAAGTGCTTTCGTTGCTTCCGTTGTTTAGCTTGTTGCTTGTCTTCCAAATAATCAACATTATTATTCCCAAAATACGCCTATTTATTATGTCAATAAACACGTAGTACAATCTTAAAGCTATTTGTTCAGATTCCATAGGTTGAATGAATAATTTTGAATGGCTTTCAAAATCATTCCATTTGACTATTAACTTATTTATTTCCAAGATTGCAGAAGAGAGCATCATACTTTAATTTGTTTTTGAGATCAGTTGCCTTGACATAATTTTGATCAATATAAAATTCTTAGTACGATTGAAGTTATAGCTTTTCTTACCTGACAGATATCACTGTACCTTTTACACGTTGAGTTCAAAAATTCATCATTGTTGGCTGCTGCTGCATTGTTGCCAAAACCCGCTGTTGCCGCTCGTACCGCACCCCTCCTCCTCCCCGTGCACCTCCCCCTTCCCCTTCCCCTTCGCCTTGTTGCCCCTGCAGCCAGCTCCCCCACTTACCGCAAACCGAAACTGACTGATGCCTGGGAGCTACTTTTGGGATGAAATATTATAATTACAAGCGAATGTCCTGCGGCCAAGGAGGAGCAGGAACAGTGCCGGGGTTACAGGGGAGCCAAAGGGGGGTATTTCACATCCAGGGGGTGAGGGGGGTGCGGACGGAATGGAGCGACATCAGCCAAGCATCAGGCAGTCCAAATCGTAACTCTCTCTCTCTTGCTCTTTCCGTCTCTTTCTCTGCTTCTCTGTCTCTGTTTCTCTGTCTCTGTTTCAGTGCTTCTGTCTCTGTCTTTCTCCGTCTGTACTTCGGTGGGTTCGGTGTTTTTGCCCTTGGGGCCTTCGGATTCCCGACCCCCCTTGTAATACCCGAATACCTCCTTCCCCTCTTCCCCTCCCCCTTCCGCCTTTCCCCTCTGGCTCATCAGCTCGTCTGCTGCTTCTTCTTCTTCAGTTGCAACATGTTGGGACGTTGTGTTTATATGGTCGCCTGCCGGCTAAAAGTGATAATTTAGATGCCCTGATAAGCCTTGAAACGGGTTTCAATGTTTCCAACATGTTCGATGCGGCAACAGTTAGGAGTGGGTGGTGGTTTTTGGGTGGCACGGGTGGCTTGGGTGGTTGGGTGGCCACTTGGGTTACCCGGGAAGTGAGTGAGTGGGCCACCCATTATTAATTGCAACTCCATGGCTTGCAGGTATTTAATAAGTTTTTGTTTAATTTCTAAAACAGGCCGCCTTTCTCTCCCTTCACTCTGTGTGTGTGTGTGTGTGTGTATTTGTCTCATCATCTCATTGCCACTCGATTCATTTAATTTCGTATTAATTTAGGCCGCGTCACACACACGCACACACATGCGTCTGTCAGTTTTATTGAAAATTAGCCTGCAGTTAATTTAGCATGCCATTAAATTTCCAGCATGCCCATGTCGTTTTTGAGAGGCCAAAAGTAATGCATGCAGATTATAAACTTAAATATGAAATGTCACGCATTGACAGGCCTTTTTTGAAAAGTGTGCAGCAGCAGCAGCAACAGCAACAGCAGCAACAAAAGCAACAGCAACAGTAAGTTTTACACCTTGGGGCCAATCCGTTTATGGGCCCAGAGTTGGGGGCTCTTGGAGCTGGAGAGATGGATATGGGATACGGACTCTCGGATCAGCATCTCACGCCATGGGTAGCCACAAAAGGCAGGCAGGCCACAGCAGAAACAGGAATTTATGTGGCCTTTTGTATTTGCTTCGAGGCGAAAGTGTTCGTTCCGAAGGGGGGATCGAAATTGGGCTGGTGCTGGAGTTGGGGATTCGGATTCGGATTCAGCTTTGGGCTCTGGGCACTGGGCACTGGGATTGGAAATGGGACTCAAACTCGGACTCCGACTGGTGCCGGAGATGGCTGTGTCTCTGGACTTGGGACTCCACCTTTAGAGATGACAAGGGTCAGATGCCAGGTGGGGCCAGCCATGAAAGTGGGCAGCACATTAGTTTGCTTTCGAGCACCAGAGGCCTAAATAGTTCATCGGCTTATCAGTGTGAATAACACAATGGTTGACTTAAAGCCAGTTCAACTTTTACTGAGCTACTTTTTTGGTATAACTAGTTTTATACATTTTTATAAATATTTATTAGATAATAAGTGAAATGATATAAGCCACCCAAAGAAGATTCTACATACTAACATAATTTTTAAAAGATGTAAAACTCTTAAATTTGATATGTTAATCTTGAAGCTATGTGTTTCTTATTTTATTAACACTATGCGATAGGACCACTTTATGAGTAATTATTCTTTTTAAATCGGAATACGTTTTGATTCGATTTTCCCAGGATCTTTACAGCCACTAAACCATTTCCTTTCTGAGGCAAAAAGCGAGCAAAGCAATTACAAACTATTTGCACTCCTCGCTGGCTGAATTGCTTAACCATTCGCTGAACAACCGATTCAATTCCGTGGACTGGTCACAGCTTCCGTTTAATTGTGGGGCTTTCACGCATTTCGCACGCTTTTTTTCACACCCTCCACCCCATTTCACCTGTCTCCCCTCCCTCCAAACCCCTCCCCCTCCCCTTCCCCTTGCCTAAATGCCCGATTGCAGTTTGTGTGTGTGTGCTAGTGAGTGGGTGGTTGGGTGGTTGGGTGGCTGGTTGGTTGATCGGGTGGTTTCAGGTGGTTTCAGGTGTAACAGATGTCTGTAAATTGCTTTACTGACTGACTGACTCGCCAGTTGGCTGTTGGCGGTCGCTTAACTGCTGATGTTGCTGCTGCTGTGTTGCTCCTGTTTGGTTTGTTGTCAGTCAAAGTGTCAGTATGTATGTGCCACGCTCACAGGTGTGAGTGCAGGTGTGACTGTGCCAGTGTGAGTGTGGGTGTGTGTATGCCAGTGGGTGGGTGGTTGGTAGTGAGCATTTCACTTATAACTGCATTAATACGAGCTTATGCTTCACGGAATCGTGCGACCCATTAGTTGTTGCTGCTGTAATCGCTGATGTTGCTGCTGTTGTTCTTGTTGCTGCTGCTGCTGCTGTTGCTGTTGGTGCTGCTGAGCGACTGTTGTTGTTGGCTCAACATTGCACATACAACCGTGCAGCAGCATTGCTTACAGGTGTGCGGCATTCGCTGCTTGTCAGTGGCCGCGTTTAACGCTACACTTAAACAAACAGCCGCGTGCGTACACAAACATCACTCAAACACACGAACACTCCACACACACACACACTTGGCGGCGAAGCGCGGAAGGAGCAACAGCAGCAGCATCAGCAACAACAACAACAACAGAAACAACAACGGAAACAGGAGGATGGCCAGGATGTGGCCGCCTATTAAGTGATTTTAACACTTTGCGCATGAAAATTGCAAAAAGGCAACGGCGCGGCGTTGATAATTATCCCTTAATTGCTTAATGAGCGGCACTTGAGCAGCGCCGTCGACAGAAGCGGCGTAAGTTTAATTAATGCCAATTTAATTACCACACCACACACACTCACACAAGGCACACACACACGTACGCACCACTACTTTTGGGCGGCACTTAAATGCCATACTTGGCTAAAAGGATTTTCACACGCTTTCAAAGTGATTTTAATGGCTTGGTCCACAAGTAGAGTAACTGATAACTCCAGATTCAAGATTTTTTAAAGCTGAGATTGTAAAGAATGTTAAATTTCTTAACAGCTGCAAATAATATTGAATTAAATAAGGGCAACCGATCAGTTTATCATTAATTATTTAATTCTTTATAAAATATATTTAATAGATCATTGCGGACCCATTATTATTTCCGAGTTTCAAGCTGTCCTTCAAAGTTTTTTTGGATAGAGAAATCTAACTACAATCTCATCGATTTCTTTATGCGTTGAGAAGAAATACAACTAAATTTAACTAGAGAATATCCGTTAAAGAGCGCTAATTGCTTCCCACATATCTTGTTTATCTAACCTAACTGAGCTAACTGAGCAGTGGTATACAGTTTCAGCCATGGCCAAAGTCGACATGTTTCTGGCTCGGCTGGCTGAATGTCTCTATTAGCCGGGGCCATAAGTTATTTGGTTGTTTGGCTTGATTAATGTTCACCTGGTCGTGTTCCGAGGAAAACTTAAACACACCAGTGGAAGTGGATGGAGAGGGAGGGAGGGGGAAGGGGAAGGGGGGTAAATGGGGGTCCAACCATTCGGACCTCGCTTTTGTGGATTGTCAGTGGCAGCTTCGTTTACGCTTTACCCTTTTCCATTGCCGGATGGCCAGCGGCGATTTCTTCTTCCAGTGATCTAATCTTGTTATTGCCCTGGCCTCCGTCTCCAACTCCATCTCCATCTCGTGCTCCATCTACAGCTCCATCTCCATCACTGGTTCCAGTTTCAGATCCAGCATACCATAAAGATATACACATATAGTATACTATACACACCAACAGAGTGATTTAGCCGATGTGCCAATTCAATTATTTCTACCTACATAAGATTTTTCCACATGGCACCGGCAAAACACATATAAACACCGATAAATGCCATACATACAAGCCATGTGGCATATAAAATAGTGAATGTAATTTTATTCACATGTCTGGCCGCAGGCCAATCCGCTTGGCCCTCAGGCGCCAAATTGCACAGCAACAGCAACAACAACACCAAAAACAGCAACAACAACAGCAAACGGCAACATCAGCAACCCCGGAACAACGGCGCACCTCTCCGTATCTCGGCTATCGGTCTTTCTTCGGTATATATATGCCACATTATATTCAGGGGGCAGGGGAGCGGACCTGAGAGCTGAAATCCATCATTGGCGCATGGCCGCGGGTCACATTTGGGTTGAAATATTATAATTACAAGCGAACGCCCGCGGGCAAGGCAAGGAGGAAGGTGAGCCGGAGCCCCAGCCCCAGCCGCAGTCGAATACGAGTACGAAGCTGAAGCTGAAGCCGGAGCGTCGAACATTGCCATCGAATCGCGAGCTTAGCTTGGCTAACAACAACACTGGGAGAAAATGTTTTAACTATTGATTTATAAGTGCGGAACATATTATCCCATTTGAATTATTTGTTCTTCTAAGCGCAAACCCAGTTTCAAAGAATTAAAAAATCCCTTTATAGAAACTACATTCTAAGTATACTAAGTATACATATCTGAAGTGTTAACTAATTTTTAGTTTTTAGTTTTTTTCAAGTATACTATGGTTTACCCAAAGGACTATTTAATTCAATCAATCAATCAATTTTATTCCAATCCCGAAGTGATATTCCTGAAAATGATTGTAATCGAATCTAATAAAAATCTGCGTTAAAATTTTTCTCAGTTTCTATCTATCTATAATATAGTCTCTATTATATAATGAATCTATTTAAAAGTCTCTTCAGAATAGGTTTAACCAGTTATTTTAAAGACGGAGTATTTATCTGTATCATCATCAGAAATGGTAGAATGTCATAATATGTAGGTAAATATAATACATTCTAAAACTACTGAAAAGAATCTCAAGTCACGCATTTTCTCTCAGTGCACAAAGGGGTCGGGGGCTTGTGGTGTCGGTTGGACGGGCGATCGGAGTCGCCTGCTGCGGATATGGATACTTAGTTGTGGTGGTTGTGTTTACGTTGCGGCTGATAACATCCCGTGTTGCTGCTGCGCCAGATGTTGCTGCTGTCGCCGTGCCCCGGGGCCACGTGCAACATGTTGCACGCAACACGCTCGACGGCGCACGGCTAACACCCCCAAACGAACCGCAAAACAGTCTTTTCTCAACGGTGGCTCAGTGTGTTTGTGCTGGTGTTTGGTGTTTGCTTTTAGCCTTCGACAACGGTGGCAGGTGAATAACAGTAACAGTTGGCCAATGCTATTGCCACGCTCTTCCCCCCCTTCCCCGTTTTCCGTTTTTTTTTTTGCTGCTTCTTGTTTGCGCTCGCCTGCGCTGGTAACTTGTTGCACGGCACGTGTTTGGACAACTGGCAGGGTCACATTAGAGGGCGGGGCAGCTGCAGCGGCGAAGGATAACAAACGAGTGGCATATAATTTAAGAACAACACCGACTGCCGACTGCCGGCTGCCTATAATTACCAACAAACCGGCCAAACACAATCACAGTTTTTGTCGCCCAAATTCATCCGGCAGGTGACAACCCGTACGAAAAAAAAAAAAAAGAAAAAGGAAACTGACGGCCCAGGACCCTCATTATATGCAAAACGCACAGGGCCGCCAGCCACTCAAACTTAACTTATTTTTAACTTGCACATTTCTGCCCGGTCTCCCTGGCTGTGTGCCTCTGTGCCTCTGTGCCTCCGCATTGCCTTGGGGCATCTTAGTTGCATGTTCGAGCAGCAATCCTTTCCTTTCCTTTCCGTTCTCGCTCGCTCGTTCCACCCCAAAACGCTGGAAATAAAGAACTGGTCTCCTCTCCCATTCATAACTCGCGGCTATATCTTCTTTTGCGTTATATTTCCCTCATTCTGCTTGTCTTTGGATATCAACTGTCAGTTTTCGAGCTAAAAACGCCAGCGGGCTAGTTTGTAAATCATTAAAATTATGCACACACACAAACACATACTCATTTCTCACATCCGCACACACTTATCATGTATTATGAGTGTATGTGTGTTCGGCCAGTGAAGTTGGCCAAACTGCATAGGAATCATTATGCAGTTAATGACAAATGTCACGCATTGCTAATGACAAAAGGATGTCGGCAATCGACTCCACAATCCTCCCCCCTTTGCCATAGATGCCCACAATTAAAATGCATATATCAAATGGCCGCCTCACTCGCAAGTGAGAGTCAGCTTTCACTGAGCTCAAGAAGTGGAAATTGGATCCAATTACATATGGATTAGCTAAAATCCTGCACTATAGTTTAACAATAAAAACAAGAACACTCCAATTAATTTCATAATTTTTATTGGGTGTATGAATATAGGATAAGTTATTACTTTTAGCAGGTCCTAGTACAATCTTTTAAGCCAGCTTAATAAATTCTGTACACAAACATTTAATCATTTTAGGCCTACACCACATAACAATATTTGAGCTTTGAAAAAATATTAGTTTGTTTTTGTGAGCAAAATATAAATATTGGTAAATATTTGTATAAGCTCTTTTTGTTAGTTTTAACTGATAGTTTTTGTTTACTGTTAGCCCTTTCAAGTTGTGCTACTCAGAAAAAGGTTTAATTCAAATAACAATCCGCTGTTTACTCTGTGTACTCTTGCCCAATTGCACCTTTGCTTAAGTATTAAAACAATCGAAAAAAGGTAAAGGTTTAAAAACTGGGAATGATCAACCTACCGAAACTTTTTAGAGAAGTTTTTACATTTCATTAAAAATATACATAGGACCAATAAAGGATTTCATCGATCCCTTTGAACACGACTATACAAACACTTCATTACGGAACTCATGGCCTGTAAAATGATTACTATTCAAATGTTAATGTAAATGTTGTGCCACATATGGATGAATGGCTGGCTGACTCGCTAGCTGGCTGGATGGCTGGCTGGTTGGATGGATGGATGGATGAATGCCTGAATTGATGGTTGATATGTGGTCGCGCTTTCTGCCACTGCCGCTGCAGTTCGGTCGTGCGTTAAAAATTTAACGCGAATTTCAGGCTGCGGCGGCAAAAATGGCATCATTAAGTAAAAGCCCCGCGGCCAGACATTGTGAATTTTATGAGCCTTTTCATATATATATATATATATATATGTAGGTATATGTGTGTATGTGGGCATGTTTTTGTTGTTTGCTCGCTGAGTATCGTTAATAATAAAAAATATATATACCTATCTACATATACTTTAAAGCACACACACACTCACACTCGACCCAGCTTGTGATGAGCCGTGCACACACACACATACAAATAATAGTAATAATAAAAAAATCACAATAATAATGATGCTGATGGTGTCGGCGGGCGAGGAGCAACAAAAAATCTGCGGAAATTCTCAGCATATGCGTTGGCATTTAAATGTTTGTGTTTTTCCCATTCACCATATTGATTGACAAGCAAATGCACAAGCCTTGAATAAATATGCACGCGGGTGGGCGGTCAGGATGCTGGGGGCGTGGCTGCTCGTTGGGCTACTTTAAAAAGCCATCAACAAATAATTACAAGCGAGCGGAGGAAGGGTATAAATGTTGACGCTGATTTCTGAGCCGATCCGAGCATTCGTTTTTACCATATATATATATATGTATGTAGAATATATATATGGGTCCTGCAGCGGATCCACCACCCCTCCACCTTACTCTCCCCCTCCCCCTTCCGCTTTACCCCACTTTCCCACCCCATCCCACTTCAGTGGCCCCGCAGCGATCCAAACAATAAAGCATAAAGCGCGCCGCACACATTTTGTCGAATTATTTTGTTGGCAGTCCGCTGGCGGCTAACTGCAGCAAATTGGCTTGAAATATTGGTATTGCCATATGTATGAGTTCGTATATGAGTGACTGAGTACATACGACTCTGTCCGCTTGTGTCTGTGTGCGTGAGCTTGTGATTAAAAAAATATTTAAAATGGCAAAAACGCAAAGCGACGTCAAAATAAAGGAGCATACCGCCCCCTCATCCCCTCACTTCCCCTTCGTCCGATTGAAACAATAAAAGTTCCCCTCAGCTTTTCCCATTCCGAGCGAGTGAGTGAAATGAGCGATAAAATTGCAACAATTTCCACTCGTCGGAGGCAATGGCTCCGATAAAAGATGACAAATTGAAATGCCACACATCAAATGCATTTTGACAGTTTTATGAAACCATTCAGTACTATGATTAATATTAAAACTCGATCTTTGAAGTGCAATTCACATATTGTCAACTCAGTAATATATTTTAGGTGGACAACAATTTGACATTTAATATTTTTATTAAATGTGTTTGCAAAACAAAAAAACAGACAAAATGAATAGTATATAGACTTAGGAAAAACATCATTTAGATGTCAAAATATTACCACAAAATCATTAGTAAAGAAAAACCAATAACTATGAAAAGTAAAGAAAAAATTCCTTTTGCTTTTTATGGAAAATATATCAATAAAAACAAACTTTTTTTTTGATCCTTTTAATATATTTATATTTTTTTTTTGCGACAATAATTATTTTATTTTTTGTCTGGTGTGATGATATCCTAGTCACGTGGCCACCTCTATGCCGGATCGCAGTTTCTGCAGCGGGGAAATATAGCGAAATATTATTGTGGCGCTTATACTACAAAATGAATATGGCCGGGGGACAAATAAGCGAGCATTCCGAAACAATTGCCAATGAAAAATGATGCGACACAACTCTCGGCAGGGGGGTGGGGTTGGTTTTTTCGGGCCCACCCCCTCCCCTAAGGGCGTTCACCAGCGGGTGGGTGGAAAGTTCGCACTCATTTTAATTACAGCTGCCTAACTGCAGGCTTCACTGTACTCGCTCACCCGGTCCCGTCTCTACGTCCCATTCTCGCTTGTGTTTTGAAACACGGCCGGCGGCGTATTTATCACAAGTTTTTCTTTGCATTGCCGCAGGGCAACAAAATATTTCAGCTGCCTCCGTCGCAGTCGCTCGTCGGATGCCCGGCGGCCTTTCAGCCCGGCTCGGCGCCCCATTGCCCCGTTCTTCGTACCGCCGACGGTTGTGCTGCTGCTGCTGCTTCTTCAAAGTCTCTGGAGCTGATGCCGCACAAAGTTTCATTTCGTTTGGCCCGCGGCCGCAGCGTTCTATGCTTTGTCATTAACACAAACACGCACACTCGCACTCGCTCACGCACACAGAGACTTCCAGCACAAATACATAGGACGGCTGCCGGGTGTCAGCTGTACATGCACCCATACACCCAAACACCAATACGCCCGCACACACGGATACACATGGCCAAGGGCAACAAAAACAAACAGGCTTTGATATTTACAATTATAGAAAATCGGCCATATAGAGATGTCCCCCATGATGAATGCAGCTTATGGGTTAAAATTTGAAATACACAGTTAGAAAATTGGTCAATCAGTCAAGAAAATAAATAAAAGAGTTACTCCTTGGGAACTTTATTAAATATATTAAGAGATTTAAGAATTTAATAATTAAAATGTTTACTCAATTTAAAGGACTGAAAACATTTTTACAAATAAGAAAAGGAGTGGGAAAAGTATGTCAAATGGAACGTTAAATTACATTTTTAAGACTATCATGTTGTTTCATAAAAGTGTAGAAACAACAATGTTTCCCAAGTGCAAAAACCCTAATTAAATACATCGATTTATAAGGCAAGCGAAAGCATTTCACCCCAGCCAATTGTTCTATTTACAGTTACAATGTTAATTGCGGCAGCTTAGTTGCAGGCCACAACAAAACAAGAACAACAAAGGCAAGAACGGACCACTTAAACCGGAAATAGACCATTAAACGTCCACACACACACTCTAACACATTAACACACACTCGCACACACATAGGCATCATATGGTGCGAAAGCCAAGCAGCTAAACAACAAACGGCGCTCTCTTTCTCTCCGTTGCCGCCGCCGTCGCTCTCTCTCAAGGTCGTCGGCTCAACACAGAAGACGCCAGCAACGAACGACACCCGCAACACGACGCAACTCGAGCCGCAACACGCAACAGCAACACGCAACAGCAAACATCGCCGCAGCAGCATAGAGCCATTAGCCATCCATCAGCCAGCGAGTGGATTCAGTTTTTGGCCAACTTCAGACGCGAATGCAAGTGAGGTAAATTGCGAGCGCTCAAAAGTAGGCAACACTTAGCTCTAACGGTGAACGGTGTTCGGTGAAACCGCAAGCGGAAACGGAAGTAAACATTTGTTGGCGCGCGCACTTAATTGAAATTCAAAACGCTTAACCGAAAGCAAATAGCGATCAGCCGATCGAAGCAAGACCAGGAAAATCAAAGAGCTCTCAAGATCCGACAAAACGAAGATTGTTTATCTACGCGCGCGTTGTATTAAAAAAGAGTTAAAGTGCATTTCCTAAATATACCAACCTTTTTGTGAGTTCTTTAAAACTATTGAGATCTTTCAAGAGCTTTTTATTTTGTACTAGTTTGTTTATCCTCAATTCGTTTTTAATTAACCTTCAGTTAATTTCAGTATCTTTAAGTAATATAACTTAATTGCAATTTATTGAAGTCTGTAAAGCTGTGTAAATATATTTAAAATCTATGATAAGAAACCATTTAAGTTCTCAATTTAGCGACGCTAAAATTTCAAAAATTGATACAATTTTTTTTAAATTTCTTAATATTAAAAATCTCATCACAATAAATTTAACTAATTTGTGTTTTCTCTTTCTTCTTGCCCCACAAACAGAACTCCGTTTGTTGCATTGGATCAACGATCGCCGTTGACGGTGGATTCCTCCTGCCCCAAACGGTAAGCGTGAACCGAAAACTTTTCATTTGCAAAATGCCCCGAAATCCCAGCCAGCCTCCGAGCTGGTCAATAAATTAGTTTAAAAAAAGATTCTGTAATAAACGAATTTTTGACACACAACAGCATCGACAGTCCAAGTTGCAAGCCACCCGATCTCTCTTTCCCTCCCTCTCCCTTTGGTTTTGGCCAAAAGCGCCGCGGGCAACTGATTTTCGTCTCTCCCACATGCCAAGTCAGAAATTGTGCGCCATAAACGAAGACTGTTTTAAACAAAAAAAACCAAAAAAAAAAAAAAATTATGCGCCTCAAGTGCTCTGTACCCGCACCAAAGGAGAAATAAACAAAAGTAAGAAGAGTAACCATGGGGGAAAGGGGGAAACCAGAGGGGGGGGCGAAGGAAGCGGGCATCGGCGACGGGCAGAAAAAATCATACAAATTTCGCCGCTGGCGTTTTTGGGCAACCTTAGCCCCCGGCTGAGTTATGTGTGCAGACGAGAACGAGTCGCATTATTTTTTCTACCTTAAAGGCTATAAAATACGATGGTGCCAGGCGGGGGTAGGGGGTCGTGGGTCGAAGGAGGGGGCATGACCGGTTGTATTGTGGCTGGTCGAAAACTAAGCGGCCAAAAGATGACCCCCGGGCCAAATACATACAGCACACTCGTACAACAAAATTTTTGTTTAGCCAGCGAATCGACGGTCCGTGAGATTCGTCCATCCGTCTGTCTGTCCGTCCGTCCGTCTCTCCGTCTGTCCGCCAGTTTGTCCGTTGAGTCGGAGCCAAGTCATGAGGCAAAGTTCAAAGCGAGAGCTGCAGTGTGCGAATTCGTATTCAAATAGGGAAATGACACGAAAAACATGAATTGATAAGGTATTTATACTTTAGCAAATTAATATTAAGAAATATATTAAAAGTTCAGAAAGATGTCATTTAATATATAAATAATACGGTGTGGAGTCTTTTTAAAATGGTTCGTAACCTTTTGAGATATAGCTTTCCTTCTCATTATTTTAAGGAAAGAAAATAATACAAATGTAACTCTTATTTGTTAATATAAATAATTTTGTAATCAAGGTGGTTCCCCAATTTAAAGTGGTCTAATTTTTATCTGTGCATCAGAAAGGAGGAGTAAAATGCTTGCGACCTTCGCCTGTTGCCCTCTCGCTTTGTATATCCCTCTCTTTCATATGGAAGCAACTGGTTTTGGTTTTATCTCCAGCTTGTTTCTCGCATTTTTTTTGTTGTTTTTCGCATGCCAGACACAAGAATTTCCTTATTTGAGGCGGAGTCGAAGTCAGAATCTTGTTTGTTTGTCTGTCTGTTTGGCTGGAGCCACAGTTCGCGATTCTTTCCTCGCACTGTCAGGATCTTTCGGCTCCCCAGCTCCCAGCTAATTTGTTTTCATTCAGCGGATTCAGGCTCCAGCTACTTGGATTCGCATTTACATTAACGGCCTGTACCTGCTACTGTTTGGGGAACCAGCGGCAAAGTGATTTCCATTACGTGCCAATAGTCAAAGCCTTCGGTTGATGCATTCGAATGCCGCTGCATTTCGGCCTGAGACTGTGGCACAAAAGCTCTTAACGCGCTGTGTGTTAATTAAGCTGCAATTCGGCATCATTACCAGCATCAACATTGCGCTGCCAATTTGCCACCAACCGAGTGGTTTCGCTGCCGCAGTTTTTGCAAGGGGTACGACTTTTGGGTATCTTGTTGCTTGAAAGTGTTGCTTATAAAAATTGTGGGTTAATCTTGCTACTAAAAAAAATTTTAAATTTAAAATAAAAAAGAATTAAACATAAATTAAATCTATTTGTCACAAGTTTTTCTGAAGATAAAAATATTATCTGATTTTTGATTTAGATATTTATACATTCGACAAAAACCCCCCAAAAATAAAATCTTAATAAAATAAGATAATTTTATTCAATCTAGTTTAGATGATAGATACTCTTAGATATATTAGAAAAAAAAAGCCATTTATTATATCGTTAAATCCAACCAATATTCTACCTATTTACCATTTGATAGGTTATGCTTGTTATGAAGGTGTAAACCTGTCATTTTAAACATACATCTCCATTCATTCTGGATATTATCCACCCTCATTCTTGCATCCCTAATCCGCTGAATAATCTCTTGTATTTACATTTCGTTCATGCCCAGGATTACCCATCCCAGAAACCGATCCTTTGCCCAACTGCATGTGCACCTGCCGCTGCAGAGGCAAGTGCATTTTACTTCAGTTGCCTTTGTGTTGCATCTGCTGTTGATGCTGTTTTTGGCTGCGATATGCACACGCAAATTGCACCAATTAGGCAGGGTGCATTGTCTGCCGCTGCCAGTTGCAGTAGCAGTAGCAGTTGCAGTTGCGAATCCAGTTGCCGGGGCAGGAGTGCCTCTGAATGGGTTTCGTGTGGTGGGCATGGTTTTCTGGGTTCCGGTTACCCCGCTCGGATGTCGAATCATGTTCCATTGTTTGAGCGCTGTTCAAGTGGAAACATGGCTGTTAATTATTATGTACACTTGATTAAGTAGCGAAGGCAATCAGGCTACATGGCGAAAGCCCTTTTACAGCCAACAACTGGCAGGTAGTTGCAACAAGCGAACAACGCTGCGTATGCGCAATGTTTTTCTTTACGGCAATATTCCGACGCTTTGCCTGCTTATCCTTTGCGCTTTTGACTTTCAATTCAATTTTCGAATTTAGCAGAATGAAAACATCCTCTATCTCTACGTAGACACACACACACACACACACACACGTGGATTTATCCGGAATATATTTATATTTTGCCTGTCGTCGTTGTCGTTCCTGCTGTTGTTTCACTTTTTTTCTTTCGTTTTTTTTCCATACAGAGGTCGGAGGTCGGCGAGTTGTGAGTTGGCTGAGTAATGTTTGCTCTGCATACGTAGCTACAGCTCCGGCTTCAGTTAAGGCCCCCCTTTGCCCCGTCAACTCACCCGGAATACCTCTTCCACAACCCTTCGCCCGCTTTTTGCTGAGTGAGCCATATGCAGCGCAATCGTCGTTTTTATTTAATATTTTCTAATAAATTTTTCAAAGTTTATTTTTGAAAGCCTTGCAGCGTTTTAATATCTGCTGCTTCCAGTATATGCCGGCACTCCAGTTACTCACTCAACTTCGGCCAGACTTCCCAGCCCACACGCGCCATACTATGGCCATATATATTCTCATATATATACATATATATATCGCATATATTTGTACAATTTGCCATGGCGCACACATTCTGCAACTTTGGCTAACAATTTTCGTAGCATCACAGAGTGGTGAGGGAAGGGAGGGAAAGGGGAAAGCGAGGGGAAACGTGGTCTGATTTCCCATATGCCGCAGCTCGAGCTCCGCCGTTTGGATTTGGACCCTTTGGCTAAAGACGACGTCGACGCAGAAGTTGAGTTCGGGCAACACTGCAGCCCGAGATCCGAGTTCCCAGCACTGAGTTCTGAGATCCGGGAAACGGGATATGGGGATATGGAATACGGAGAGCCGCGAGGGAACGAGGGAGCCAAAGGAGTCAGCCGCACATATGACCGGAGTTTGGGGGCCTCCTAGCTTTGGCTTTTTGTGTTTTACTTGCGCCCGCCGTCGACTGGACGGCAAAAAGTTTTTCATTTGCCTGCTCATCAGCGTTTTGATTTTGGTTGCGGCCAACTGCGAAACGAAAACAAGCCAACACTCCTTCTTCCTCTTCTTCTTCCTCTTCTTCTTCGCCGCTCTCCTTTCGACCTTCTCGAGAATTGCCCGAGGCTTTGGATTCTTCTCAACTTGTCCCCGGGACATTTTGCAGATTTTTCCTTTCATTCCTCGTGTGTGTGTGTTTCTCTCTGTGTTGGTGTTAGTGTGTGTGTGTGTGTTTACTTTATGTTTGTCTTGGCTAGATACACAAGTGTTCCGCATTCCCTTATCTGCAGCTCCCGGGAGTCGTAAGTTTGCTTTCTTTTTCCAACCCCGAACCGAAATATAAGTCCTTATACTGGGTTTTTGGTCCTGCCTAATTGGAATCCTCCGCCCTCTCGTCCGCCCCGTCAAACATAATCTGCCGCCTTGTGCTGCAAGTGTTGCAGTTTGATAAATCTTCGGGCTCCCAATGTTTTCGTATTAACTTTCGAGGTGGATTCAGTGCAGCCGACGTCGCTTTCGCCGCGGGCGTTTTAAAATTGAGATAAGATTTTGCCTCGAAAACTTTCGTTTTGCTTTTTATTTTCTTATTTTTTATGCTGCTGCTGCTGCTTCTGCTGCTGGTGTTATTTTTTTTTTTGTTTTGCTGTTCGGTTGCTCCTGCTTTCATACTCTGCTGTTGTTTTGCGAGCTGCCTGGGGAGCATTTGAGGCCATGAGACGGAGGGAGCAACTTAGGTATGATATCTTTAAATGCAGGCAACACACATGGGGAATAAGCCAAAGCCAGAACGGACACGACTAGACTTACCTACCAATCGCAAAAGTTTGCGCCTCCAGCGGTTGGCCACCCCAGCATCCTCCATCCTCCATCCTCCATCCTCATATCCTTTCCCATTCCCGTTCCCGTTCGCATTGCCTTTCCCTTTCCCGCTGCGTTTCCCCCACATCCTTAGCCTTTCCCTTATCGGAATCGGAGTCGCAGTCCGGATCGGGCAGGAGGTGTATCCTTGCCGCTGTGGTTACTGGCTATGTTCCTGGTCCTTTGTTGTTGTTGCCGCTGCTGTTGCTGCTGCTCCTCTCGTTGCCCTCAGCGCTGCAAGGATAAATGAATGAGGAGGGACTCGGCACACACACACACACACATGCGAGGAGGAGCCACACACACATGGAGCCGGAGAAGCCCTGAAGGAACCACCAACCCACTAGAGAGGGAAAGGCAGAGCAGGAAAGAGAGCGAGAGGGAGGGAGAGGGAGAAGGAGAGTGGGTGGGCAGGAAAACCCCAAGTTTCAATCCCAAACACCAGGCACCTTGCCCAACTACAGTGGGCACTCGCTCGTGCAGAGCCCCAGTGGATTACATTCGGGGGACAGCTCGACTCCAACTACCCAATCCCCCTCCAATCCTCCACCGTGCTGATGAATAAGCTACCCACCTTCCGAGTGTCCTTTGGAACCCGGTTCCGACCGTACTCCGTACTCCGTATTCCATATTCCGCACTCCTTGGCTTGGCTTGGTTTGGCTTGGCTTGGCTCGCTTTCCTTGCTTGGTTTCGTTTCGTATCCATCCATGATTTCCGCACTAATTCCAAACGATCGCCGCGGGCCTAGTCAGCTTTTGCCCTTTTTCGCTAGCCCTCTCTCGCTCTCGCCCAGCTAGCCTTCTCCTTCGGCACTGAAAGAAATAAATGTGGAGTTATACTATACTAGTGAAAGATTAAAAATATGATTTTCCTTAAAGTATATTAACAGGAATATGTTTAGTATTTTATAACAACTTAAAGAGGACGAAAATTAGTTCTTACCTCGTAATAAAATCTCTCCATTAAAACAAATTGAACAACATTTTTAAACCATATATTTTAAACCTATAAAAATAAATTCAAAATGTTCTTGTGTCTTGAAATGATTAAGCATACTTATAATACTTATAGATAAATTGGATAGACTTTTTAATATTACTGATGTCTTTAGATTACTTTTAGATTATACATTTTCTTATTGGTAAGGCACATTTATTTCCATGTAAGTTATGTTTCCACTTCTTTTTTCTGCGAGTGCAGCTAGCAACCAGGACACTCGGGCTGTCTGGTCTGGCCTTTGTGTGCGGAAGGTTGGCTGGCCGCAGGACATTTTCTAGGGTTACATAGTCAGCGTCGCAGTCGCAGTCGCAGTCGTCAACGTCTGATGCTCTGCCTAGGTGTGTGTCGCTATTCCAGTGTGTGTGTATGAGTGTGGGGTGTGTGGTTGTAGGTGTAGGTGAGTGGAGTATGTGTGTGTGTGTGTGGGGTGTGCACTTTAGCTCATTTCTTGGCTTTTGTTTTCGCTTTTGTCCTGTTTTGGGAGGGTGGCTGCCACTACCACTACTACAGTATTACCACAATACTACTACCACTATATGGGACTACCACTAACACCCACTCAAGCGCCCGATCCGAAAACCGAGTAGTCGTCCAAGTCGTGGGGAATTGCCTGGGCGGAACTGAAGTGGGCGGTCCTGAGTTATCCTCCCAGCATTCGAACATTGAGCATGTGCCAACGGCCAGTTTTGTCCATAATTCCTTTTTGGAAAATGGTTTCGCCCGGGGCCATCTGCTGCATCATTCCGGACTGAATGGACTGAACGGACTGGCCGGACTGGCAACCTGATATCCAGCTCCGCACTCACAATCTCAACAATGGCAAACTAATAAGCTCATGGCAGCCATCTCTTTCTGCCGCCTGCGAGCCGAATGAAACATGAAACTCCAGCAGAAGTATAAGAGGAAGTTCTCGTGTACTCGTACTCGTTCTCGTTCCCAAGCAAATGTGCAATGCCAAGAGTTAAGAGTTAATGGCATTGCCATTAAAATCAGACCAGCGCCAGGCAAAGATGTCGAACGGAATGGCCACGGGAAGGACGAATGGAGAGCGGCTGAGCGGCAGGCCGGGTTGCCAGGATGCCAAAATGATGGGGGGAAGCCGCTTGACAAATATGACTACGGCAAAGGCAACTCTTCAAAATATTATGTTGGCCAGAGCTGAGCACGTGACATATAACATATTGGAGCAGTAGGAATAAGGATCAGATTAAACTTGACCTTGCAAAGTTATATTGTATATCCAAATAATAGGTGACATTTTAATAATATTTGTATAATATGTTATCTCCAAATAATTTAACTATTTTATGTTGATATTCAGTGAAGGGTTTTTAGTTTGTTTCAGCTTAATCTTTTATTTTATAAAATGCACTACTTTTTTTGAAGTATATAGAATATTTAAGCATATGTAGTTACAATCCAAAGTATGTGTAGAATTTTTGACCTTAGAAAACATAACTTTATATTTTCGGTTGCATCACGCGTTCACCTCTCTTTCTCATCTCAAGTGTAACCAAAGGCGCTGCGAAGAACTCCCGCAACTCCGCCCCCCGCCCAGCCGGCAGCCTTGCCCCGCCGCCCCTTTACTCCCCCTCCTTCCCCTCTCCCCCTCCCCTGTCACTCTGCCCCTTGCCCAGTGCTCTGCTCATCCTGCCACTAGACGGCATAGAAAAGATACCGCCGGCGGCGATAATGGACTAGAATAGGATGCAAACTGCAGTGCTTGTCTTATATACAATACCGTTAGCTCAGGGTGTCCACACACACACACATGCCACACATGCACATATACGTATACGTATACATGTGTGTGTGTGTGCACCTGTGTTGTTGTTGTTGCACCTGCTCAAGTGGGCCGCAAAGCAATTGAAATTGAATTGTTTGTGTGGCAAGCCAGAGCTCAGGCATTGCATATTTTGTGGCTGCAACTGCAGCATTTGGCCCAAGGAACAAGGAGAAGAGGAAGAGGTGGACAAGAGGAGAGAGGAGGAGAGAGGAGGGGAAAGGGAAGGGAGAGGAAGTGGGGGAAAGGTTATTGGCTAGGAAACCATTAAGCCAGATCCCATAAACGAATATCCAATGTTTGATTGAACGCATTACTCACGCTTTATAATTGCCGTAAATTAATAAAACCCAGTGCTCGGTGCTTTTGCCCAGCTTTTCCTCCCATCTACCCCACCAATTTTCCCCTCTTCACCATCGACATGGCTGCCATGAGAATGCCTCGCAGACATTTATTTTGTGCAATTTTTTTGTGTGTGGCACTGCTTTGGGTTTTTATTTGCCGTAACCCTGTTCGAGCGACGTCCGCTCCTTGCGACTCTATTCGCTTTTTAGCCCTCGTACAATCGTATACGAGCATTCGTACAGTCCGTCCGTCCACTCCATCTGCGGTGCTCATTCCCATTTGAATGTTCATGTAGTTAAAGTTAATCAAATCGTAATTACCCAGCCCCAGTCGCTTGGCCGCAGGGTCTCAAACATTTAAAAAAAGCAAACTTGTTTAGCTACACGGGCAGCGATGATTTGTGGCCAAAGCGGACAGTTGATGCTCTTCGTCATAAAAAATAAAATATAATAGTTAATAAATTTTTAGAAAAATTCAACTAATAAAAAAGGAAAGAATTTATTCAAGCATTTGTTAATTTTAGAAATTATAAAGAAACTGGAAATTTTAGAAGCTTCTTAAATAAATAGTTCATTTTTCCTGGTCCCCAAAAAGAGCTAAATTTTTTTATTTGCAAACCGAACAACCTTCACTAGGCAAGGTCCCACGTAATGTGCATTCATAACTGAGGAGAACTGCCTGTGAGCCAGGTTAATGCGCAGAAGGCATGTGAACATTTGTCATATGTGGCCAACTCGTTTCAGTTCCCCACTCACAACTCGATTGAGTTTTATTAATTTGCGATCCTGGCGCAGAGAAACTGATACTGATGATAATGATGATGATGATGACTTTGGAGATTTAGATGTGGCCTGGTAATTGGTGTTGACTTTGTTAAGACGGCTCAGCGGTGGCGTTGCGCATACGCCATGTGGCACGCATCCGAAATCCGACACGTCATAATTGGTGAGCTCACAACGCTTTCCACCGCGTAACAATGTGATTTTCGTGTGAAATTCGACTGGCCACCCTTGCGGCCAAACAACCGACAACCAGCAACAGCAACAACAACAACAGCAACAACAGCAACAACAGCAACATCAACAACAACAACAACAACGTGGCTAAAACGATGCACTCGATGGCCGTTAACATTAACTGCATCCACGGCCCGCCCGTTTCGGTTTGGCTCAGTTTGGCTCTGTTTGGTTGGGTTTGGTTTGGCTTGGTATCTGTTTTTGGCCTGGCGATTTGGTCTTGTCCACGACCGAAGCTGCAGAGAGCCGATCGCTTTAGGCCCGAAGCCCCGTAACCGAGATGGAAACGCAGTGAAAAACCAAATATTCCCACACAATCAGCCCAAGACTATGGCCATATGAATTATATATATATATACATATATATATGCGACTTGACTCGGCCCCCTTTATATATCTTTCTCTCTCTCTCTGAAAGTGTGTGTGTGTGTGTGTGAACTTTTATGGGGCCCTGTGGAGAGCTGCAAGCGATATTCGACCCGTCGCGGCATTTTGGTTGTCACGTTTGCTGTCCTTCGTCGATTTCGTTGGTTGTTGTTATTGTGGTTGTTGTTGTTGGCTGTCTGTAATCAGAGTCAAGTCAATTTCGCTCTTGCACGGGGGTCAAATTGGTTCTCATGATTAGCGCTTTCAGGCCCCCCCTGCATCTTATATAAACTAATCTAATTATATCAATTACCGAAAACTAAGATTTGATGCATCGCTTGGTTACAGGAAAAAATGCGATATGGATCGAGAGCGAGAAAGAGATGTCAAGGCCCTGGAGCCACGCGATTTGTCCTCCACGGGCCGCATTTACGCCAGAAGCGACATTAAAATTAGGTAAGTTTTTGATTCTTTATCCTTCATAGATTTTCGTAGACTTTATTTATTTTTTTGGGAAACTGAAGATAAAGTAGATATGTTTTAAGATTCGTATAATATATTTAACTTTCTTAAATTCAACGAATAATATGTTTAACTAAACTGCTGTGTTTCATATAAATTATTTGCCTTGATGAAAATATTTTAAAATAATTATTTTAGAGCACTTATTATAAGTGAGTAGTGGCTCATTTTAAATCCCAATTTTATCTGAAATTCTTTTTTTTATTTTTTTTTTAAATTAAAATTGAAAAAAGATAAATCTTCAAAAAATAAACTTAAGCCAGAAATCATCCACTTTCATATATGACTAGACTTGAGTGTTAGAACAGTGGACAGTACTCGATTCGCATGGCACTTCTCATCTCACCGTTCCCATCTGCACACACCACCCCCTTCCCCTCTCCCCTTCCCCCTCCCCCTCCCTCTTTGTTGCTATCAATCTCATTGGGAATTCGTGAATGGTTTTCGCCCGCAGCTCCTCGCCCACCGTCTCGCCAACGATCTCAAACTCCTCTTCGCCCACACCGACGCCGCCCGCCAGTTCCTCAGTGACGCCGCTGGGGCTGCCGGGAGCGGTTGCAGCTGCTGCCGCCGCCGCCGTCGGAGGAGGAGGAGGTGGGGGAGCCTCCTCGGCGGGGGCCAGTTCCTATTTGCACGGCAACCACAAGCCCATCACCGGGATTCCGTGTGTGGCCGCCGCCTCCCGCTACACGGCGCCCGTTCACATCGACGTGGGCGGGACCATCTACACCAGCTCCCTGGAGACGCTCACCAAGTATCCGGAGTCGAAGCTGGCCAAGCTCTTCAACGGCCAGATTCCCATCGTCCTCGACTCTCTGAAGCAGCACTATTTCATCGATCGCGACGGGGGCATGTTCCGCCACATTCTGAACTTTATGAGAAACTCAAGACTTCTGATTGCCGAGGACTTTCCGGACCTGGAGCTCCTGCTCGAGGAGGCTCGCTATTACGAAGTGGAGCGTAAGTATTCTGCTAAAAAATTAACAGGGAGGGAAAATGCTTACAAGTATCTGATTGAATTAAACTCTGGTTTCTGATGGAAGGATGGTTTATTCAGAATTTATTGGAAAAGATCTATGGATTTATTATCACACCAAAAATCATTTTGTGTCCTGAAAATATAAAAAAATAGCAAAAAAACAGATTAAAGATAGTTCAGAAAAACCAACTACATTTTAATACATAAATATTTTGTAAATTTGAATACAATTTTTGGTAAAAGAGTTAGCAAACTAGTAGAAGTATTTTTTTTTTAAATTTATATATTTTTTCTTACGCAAGTTTTATTTCCTTGCTATTAAATTCTTGTAATTTCTGATAAGATACTTGTGATACCTTTTCCCTCCGTGCATCGAGCCTCGTTATGGCCACCAGCGATTATGGCTAATTTGCTCTTCTTCCTATCTCCCCCCACCCACTGTTACCCCCACCCGCCACCTCCTCGACGACGACATGACCGGTACGCTGGGCCCGCAGCGATGATTAAGCAGCTGGAGAGCATGCGCAAGGATCGCGTTCGCAACGGCAACTATTTGGTGGCGCCACCCACTCCACCGGCGCGCCACATCAAGACGAGCCCGAGGACGAGCGCATCGCCGGAGTGCAATTACGAGGTAGTGGCACTGCACATCTCGCCGGATCTCGGCGAACGCATAATGCTGTCGGCGGAACGCGCTCTGCTGGATGAGCTCTTCCCGGAGGCCAGCCAGGCGACACAGTCGAGTCGCAGCGGCGTGTCCTGGAACCAGGGCGACTGGGGGCAAATCATCCGCTTCCCCCTCAACGGCTACTGCAAGCTCAACTCGGTGCAGGTGCTCACCCGGCTGCTCAACGCCGGCTTCACCATCGAGGCCAGCGTTGGTGGCCAGCAGTTCTCCGAGTATCTGCTGGCGCGCCGCGTTCCAATGTGATAGACTCCGGCTCTGGCTCTGGCTCTTCCTCTTCCTCCGGCTGCCCCGGCTCCACAGGAAGCGGGAGCTGGCGTTGCAGCGGCTCCTAGTATTGCTCCTGCGACTCCTGTGGCTTCTGTTTCCGGTTCCGGTTCGGGTTCGGGTTCGGTATCGGTTTCCAGTTCGGGTTCGAGTTCCCTGCGACGCGGCCGGCTGATCCATGTGCGCTGCAGGCGTTAGTTGCCACCGGAACGGGGTAAATGGTAAATGGGTGGGTCTCCGTTGGGTGACTTTAAAAATGAGGGAAGTAGGATGGAATCTATGAACAATTCTAAGGTATAGTAACAGGTATTTACCTGTCACGCTTAAGCTACAAAAGGAACAACTTGTTTGTGGAGAAATAACATTTATTTTAGTAATTTTAGCCTTATTTTTGGTGAAAAGAAATGGTAGTTAAGCTGTAGAATTCAATCATTTCCATGGGGAAACGTTTTAAAGCTTTACTTGAATATCAAATATCGGTTTTATCAAATTGTCTTCCCTTATTTCGACTGATTTTACAATTTCAAGATAGATAAAAAATGATTTTAAAATGGGAAATTGTAAAGTGTGGTTGATTTATCTTAGAAAAATTATTTAAAATTAGTTTTTGTTATTCACTTTAAAAACTCAAATACAAAAACTGCATTTTCGTAGCTCAAACTTGACCTAGAATTGTTCATATATTAAATTCTATATTAGCAAGTCGACCCACCCACGTTTTGGGGGAACCGTGCATTGCTGCTCTGAGCAGTTTGTCTTTTAGCAATACTTGGACAACCTTCGCTGCGGATACAAGTTCTGAATCTGAATCCAAATGTTATTTAATGTTTATCAATTAAGTTTGCTGGACACAAGCACACGCGTGCGTATTATTAAGCATTTAAAGAGCCAAGAGCCCAGCACTGATTTTGTTTTTAGCCTTGCGTTTAAGTCGAGTATTGTTTTCTCTAAGTGTACCACCTACAGCTAATGACCTTGAGTTGTTCCATTGAAACGAATTGGCCAGGCATTGTAGCTGGCATAAATTATTATAATACACATACAAACACACACAAACATGCGCCCACATACACTGAAAACTATGGTAGAGTAACATTGACTCAAGATCGACTCACAGCGAAAATAGTTTTGTAGTACTTAATTGATGTAATTGAACCTTTATGAATGTAAACTATGGGATAACTTTTTCAATATATACGAACCGACGTCTAAATAGTCTACACCAATTCAAATACAATTACATGCAAATATAGATATATTCAACAAAATACAGTTTGCGACCACGCCCTCTATAGAACAACCACTCAATTGAATATTTAAATAAAGCAAAAAATACGTGTAAGTTGTTGAGTTATTTATTGGGAATTTTAAATCCAAGCGGGTGATAAACTTTTATTTCGGTTGGCAACGCTGTGGAAACTAAACTGCTTGGTAGGAAAGCAGTGAAGTGGATCCTATGGTGCAGTACACTTTGTGGAACTGGTTGGGATATCGGCTAACTAAACGGTTCTGGTTTAAATTTGAAACATTCATTAATGACACAAATTCGTCGTTGAAATCGTTCAGCCAAGCGCAACATATTCAACCAAAGTTCACTTTGAAGTACCAGGCAAACAGAATGCAATAGTTTCTTTTTTTTTTTTTTTTTTTTTCTTTCTATTTATTTATTTAGTGCAGAATCTGTACAGCAAATTAAAGTACTTAACAACACAGGTGTCACCAATGAGAAAAGTAAACCAAACCTCAGCATTAAGAAGAGGATTATATATAGTATTTTCTTATTGATTCCTTATCGTCTTGGCAAAGCCTTGCCTTTTGAGACGCCTCAAAGGTCTCGCTGGGAGTAGATTCCTAGCCAGTAAGCTGCGGTGTCTTTCTAATCTATCTCGGTATCGGCTTGTGTGTCTCCCAATCTGTTCTTCCACAGTGTGTAGATTTAGGTCTCTGTGAAGTGTCGTGCCACGCACATACCAGGGACAGTCAGTAATGGTACGTAGAAACCGATTCTGCAACACTTGTAACCTTTTGTAGTTCGATTTGGCTGCGATCCCCCAAATTTGAATACCATAAAGCCAGATTGGCAGGATACAGAATGCATATACTGCCCTCTTGCATCTCAGCGGCAAAGTGCTCCTTCTGTGTGTAAGCCAACGCAGTTGCTGAATCCTTTGGTTACATTTTTTGACTGTTGCTTTCAGATGTGGTCCGAACGTAAGGCGCTTATCCAGTGTGATACCAAGATATTTTGCTTGCGACGGCTGTTCCAAACTGACTCCCTCTAGCTGGATTTCAGGGGTGTTAGATACAAGTCTCTTCAGTGTAAAGCAGGGGTTCGTAGTTTTTTGCGGATTGATTCTCATATTCCAACGTTTACACCAAGCAGAAAGATCCTTAAGGTATTCTTGTATTCCATTTGCTGCTTCCCTCCGACATCTGGAATTGTAGATGACTGCAATGTCATCTGCATATGTAGCAATCAAAGCTTTGGAAGGATCTATCATGTGATGTCTGTTCCCTAAAGTATGCTCCAAATGTTAGTGAAAATGTGTAATGTATGAGCATGAGAAACAGCACGTTTTTTATAAGCTCCCAAAAGTATGATACAATTTTAATTGTTCTGGTTTATTTTATATAATTTAGTATACCTATTTCCTAGATTTATACTGTACATTTTGGGACAATCCATGTCTTGTCATATGTATTTCCAAATATTCAAAAAATGGGTTTGCTGAAAAGTAACAAAATTCCCCAAAGTTTAACTCCATAAGCTTCGGAACGCTGAAGCATACTTATTTGAACAGCCCAATCATTTAGTAAGAATTCATTTTGAATTTATTGAAAGGTAATTTTATTTGTGTATATATATATTCACATATAGGTAAATAGTCTAGTTTAAATAAAGTTAACTTAGTCAGTATGCATAACGCACTTGGCAAATGGTCGATATTTAGAATTTCGTTGCCAGCTTTTGGCCGCTCAATCGCTGATCCATCGGCTGGGCATTCGCTTACAGGCTAGTGTGCCAACAAAATATTCGAAATCTTTAGGAGATTTGCATCGATCGATGCATGGCACGCTCGGGATTTAATTGTCAAACTTGGGATTTGAAACTAGGCCTAAAATTGCATAAGATCGGTACATCGGTATGATTAGTTTTTCTACTATAGTGTTTTCCATGTTTGCTTAGCTGTGTGTGTCGAGTCGTTTGATTTGTTCATCGTATTAAAAGTCCTTAGTTCGAGTTCGTAAAAACTATATCACAGTTGGAAACTAGACGCTAAAAGAGGCTAAGGCTACGGCTAACTAGAAGTACAAGAGAAGTAATTAGCTTAGTGTGTGCCCTCCGACGAAGCCTGATCCTGCGAAAGGACACTCAATGATTCCTGGCCGCATCGGAGGCGTCTACGAAATGCACTATCGGTGTTTTGTTCTCGTAATTACATGAAATCTACAAGCGCAGAATCGCGATGACGATCCCTGCTGACTAATCCTTTAGAGGCTACAGGATAGAGAAGTATACACAAAGATACGATACAATGGGTGGGGAAGGGGAAGGGGAAGGGGAGTCACTAAGTACACTAGAGAGTAATATCGGTAGTAATATACAAATCTATGGGTCGGTCTAGGCTTTGTACAGGCGCACGGGCTCCTATCTCTAAGATAACAGCCAGCAAAGGCAAATTCCGCATGGCTTCCAAAGGCACTTGGCAAGATTATCGCTGATCCTCCTTCTCCTCGAAGGATTCTAAACCCTCGTTTCCGTGTTGCGATTCCGATGCAGTGGCTGCAGCTCCCGCTGGGTGTCGTTGTAGTACTCGTGATCGGAGCTGGTGGGTTCACTTCCCGGCATCGGCACCTTCACCTCCATGGTGCCTGGCACTCCCATCACCGGGATGCCAATCGTTTGCGTGGGAATCGGCGCCTCGTTGACGCCCAGCGTTTGGGCATTCAGCAGATACTCCGGATTGTCCACACTCACGGGCACTCCGATGAGATCCATGTACCCGGCGGCCACGCCCACTGCGCCCATGTTGTTCTGGTTGGGATTGTTCGAGTTGTTGTTGTTATTCGGACCCGGTTGGCAAGTGGGCATCAGGTAGTCGTCCTCGTCCACTGGCAGATCGAGGCGGAGGTTGCCCACGCCCACTTCGCGGGCACTGGAGTCGGTCTCATCATCCCCCACCGCTGGAGTTCTTGTTGCTGGGATCCTTGCAGTAGCGATTCAGCTTGGGTATCTCGTCGGTGGCATCCGTTCGGTGGCTTGGACCAGGAGCTGTCTTGGGTTGCAGGTAGTCATCAGGTTCCGTCATTGCCTCAGCTCCATCTGAAGTGGGCGCCAGCTTCCTAATGAGATCCTTCTCATCTTGACTCGTGTAGGCAGGCAGCCTAGTGAACTTATCACCAGGAATGGCCAGATAGCGACCAGGATCCCTGGCGAACTCGGCAAAGACTGTGGTTAGCTGCTTGAATGTTGGTCGCATGGCGGCATCTAAGTGCCAGCAGGAGAGCAATGTGCAGTAGATATCCAGCGAACAGATCTCCGGTTGCTCCAGCTTCAAACCAACTTCTATTAAGTCCGGAATATCCTTGGCTGGAATATTCTCATGTGGTCGCTGGCCAAAGGTCAGCAGCTCCCAAATGGTCACTCCAAAGGCCCACACATCCGACTTGCTGGTGAAGACCCGATTGCGAATGCACTCCAGAGCCAACCACTTGATGGGCATCTTGCCGCCAGCTGCCTTGTATTCATTGGAATCGCTGCTAAGAAGCTTGGCCAAACCGAAGTCCGTGATCTTCACCAGCGAGGGAGTCTGCACGAGGACATTACGAGCAGCCAAGTCTCTGTGAACCAAGCGCTTCTCCTCCAGATAGGACATTCCCTTGGCGATCTGAGTGCTCCAGTTGAGCAAAGCCTTGGAGCCAATCTTATCCCTGTTGTTCCTCACATAATCCAAAAAGGCAACCCAGTGGCATCAGTTGGGTAATCAGCATCATCTGCGAGGACATGCAGACAGCCAGGAGCTTGAGTAGATTCACATGCTCCACGGAGGCCATGATGTACGCTTCGCGGAGGAACTCCTCACTCGACTCCGCTCCAGTGGACTTCAGCAGCTCCTTGATGGCCACGGGGATCTTGACGTTCTCGCCCTCTGGCACCCAAACTCCCTTGTACACGCGACCAAAGGCTCCCATTCCCAGGACTCCACCCTTCCGCAACTCGGCATCCTTTACGATACGCAACTTGCACAGATTGGCGCCAATATTCGAGGGACGCAGTGGCTCGGAGTCCTCGCAGCCGGAGAGAGCCATGGTCATCTTGACGGTCTCCTTCTTGGCCTTCTGCTTCTGCCGGCAAATGTAGGTGACCACGCAGAGGATGCAGATGGTGGGCACTAAAACAGCGCCCGTGATGATGAAGATCATGTTCACGTCCAGGTTGGCGGTCATCTTGCTGCTCCTCGGCGGACTGGAGGCGCAGTAGGGTCCGATGGAGAGCGACTGGTAGTTGACATGCCTAAACTCCGACGGGCACTTCGAGGTGCAGTTGAAGGAGGTGGCATTGGTGTAGGGACCCGCCTCGCTGGGATCGAAGAGCTTGAAGTTGAGGCAAGCTAAACACTCATCGGCACCCGGACCGGTGCATCCCTTGCACTCCGGATGGCACTCGAAGCACTCGCGCCGCTCCTCATCCGTGTAGTGATCGGCAGGACACTCGTCCTCGCACTGCTCCCTGCGTTTGTAGTGGGTGCACTTGGAGCAGACCTGCTCGTGGAATCCGTAGTTGGTGCACAGTTCGCAACGTGGGTGGCACTTCCTGCAGACCGCCTTTCCAGCCAGCGGTTTCAGTGATCCCAGTTCCTGCGGATGCACGTACTCCCAGTAGTAGCCATCCGGGCACTTGTCGTCCTTCAGCAGGCAGCGCTCCACGGAGGCATCGTTGTTGATGATGGCCAAATTGCAGGTCTTGCAGCCGCCCATGCCAATGGTGTCCTTGGGTCCCGTGCATCCCTCGCAGGTGGCGTGGCACTCGCGGCAGATGCCGCCATCGCTGTACTTGTTCGCCGGACACTCGGACACGCAGTGCTGGTTGTCCCGCACGTGGACGCACTCCAGACAGTGATCCGCTCCCGAGCCCGTGCACGTTCTGCACTCCGGGTGGCACATCATGCAGGTCTTGTTATCGAACTGGTAGGCACTAAAAGGAGTTGAAGTAAATTGGTTAGCTATTTGGTTTGAGTACATTTTATTAAGGGTATAACTTACTTTGAGATATTACGACAGTCGGCTATGCAGGTGCCATTGAAGTTGAACTTCTTGCAGGTGAGACACTGATCACTGCCAGCTCCCCAGCATCCATCTTCACTGCACTGTTCCGAGCAAATGGTTCCGTTTTTGGCTGAAAAGGATAAGGTATAGAGGATTAGATACAGGTTGAAAAAATCAAAGGAAAACTAACATATGTCATTGAAGTTTAGACAATTAAATTCACTTCAAAAGTTACTTCTTAATTTTAATAGATATTAAAAAACTATCAAGTTAAACAAACAGGATAACTTGATTTTATATTATTACAATCCATCAAATGATGCATTTGGTACTATTGATCTTGAATTCCAATATTCTAATTCTAAAGGTACCTACCACACAAATCTGCCCTCAGATTCTCGTTGACCCAGACCTTCTGGTCGGCCTGCTCCTGGACCGCCGACCATCGAATGTCGCTGACGTAGCAGAGGTCCCTGTTGTGCTGGATGACCACGCTGCCCGAGCTGATGTGCTTCAGGTTGCGCATCTCGAGGCTGTACAGCGAGGACTTGACGATGGCCAGGGCGGCGAACATGCTCTCCATCAGCTGGCGACCGTGGATGGTCTCCAGGTTGCGGAAGTACGAGAGGTTCCGGAACTGCGGATGCGTGCCCTCGATGTTCAGGTAGCCGGTGATCTCCTTGACGGTCGAGAAGACCTCCAGTCGCTCGGGATCCAAGGGGATGTAGCGCGGACCCAGTGTGTAGTTCGAGTACATGTCCTGGAAGCCCGAGAAGGTCTGATCCAAGATGCGAATGTTGCCGTCGATAACCGTGCAATTGCGGAAGGTCTCAATGTTGCCGGCGTGCAGAACGGCGACTCCAGGACACGTTTTGGGGCAGGGTCCGTTGCAGGGAACACACTCCCCGGATTTGGCAGTCTTGTCCAGCGGACAACTGCGCACACAGGCGCCATTGTCGCGGAGCAGGTGACCGGGGCACTCCTTCACACAGGTGGCTCCATAGGCGTACTTGCCCTCCGGATTGGCCTCCAGAACGTAGGTGGTGGGGTTGTACTTCCGCATCGGCGGGCACTCGTCCTTGCAGACGCCCTCGTCGAAGAAGTTCTTGCAGGCGATGCAGTCCTTTTGCGTGGGGCCAACGCATCCGCCGGCGCAGAAGAGGTGGCAGCATTCCCGTGGACGTGGTCCGTAGCATCTACCCCCTGCACACTGGGGCGAGCAGGTCAGCTTGCTGAACTTCTGGCAGTTGTTCGGGCCCTCGCCCCAGCAGCCCTTCGAGCAGCTCTCGTGGCACTTGGGACACTCGCGCTCCGGCGCCGTGAAGTCGTAGTTGTAGTACGCGTCCGCGTTGTTCGACAGGATCTCCGGCCACTGGATGGTGCGCATGTGGCACAGGTTGTAGTTGTTGTGGAAGCCCACATAGCCGTTCAGCACGTCGCGCAGATCGGGAATCTCCAGGGTGTACATCTTCGAGTAGGTGACGAACAAGGCGTACTTGTCGTCCTCCACCGCCAAGCTGAAGAGGGTGCGACCGCGGATGATTTGCAACCTATAAGGATAAAGGTTTTATATCAGTTAAAGTCTGATGGAGTCTCTTAATTAAATAAAGATTTTAAGAGCTTGTCACTTTAATATGGAAGTTATAAATCTCAGTAAAGCATTCAATAAAATCAAAGAACTGCTTCAATCTTTAATATTTCATGCTATTAAAATGTTGTACTATTTTGATACTTTTCTTATCCGATTAAGAATCGTAACAATTGTCAACCTCATAGTGTGTTTAAGATTGAAAAAATATTACTAAGTAAAAAAGCTACTAAGGGATGTTGAGATTGGTGTTTTCAACTTACTTTGGAAACTTGACATGCTTGACATCCACATGGCTGATCAGAATATAACCGGTGACTTCCCGGATGTTCTCCAAGAAGCTGAGGTCCATGCTGTCGTTGGCCAGCCAGGTGAGCTCCAGGTTCCCGTCCACATAGGTGCAGTTGGTGTAGCGATCCTTGAGGTTCCTATAGTGGTGCTCCTTGTTCGAGGGCACCGACAACCTGGACTTGGTGCCAATGCAGACTGCAAAGAGAGCGGAAGAAAGGGAAATCGTTGTAGTACTGTGGGTGTTGATGCGGGCTAATGGGTTTTGTTTTTTCGGGTCGCCAGTGTCGCCAGTGACCCTAAACTGTCCAATTAACCACAGCCCACCAGGTTGGTTAGGTGTTGACTTATTGTCGGACAGTTTTGAGAAATTAATTTCGATTCGAACTTCGGATCGTAAACGGAAATAGCTTTGCCGCAGCGTTTCTGTTTGTTTGTTGGCTCGGAAGCAGTAAAATGAGGTAGAAACCGAGGCAAAAACCAGTGGGCGAGTGTTTCTCGATGCCAGTTGGCGTTTTTAATAATTAGCGGCCCACGCAGTCTCGCTTCTCATCCCAGACGGTCTCTTATCATTAGTCAGCGACCTGTTTTAGCCGCATCTTCGGGGACAACTTCATTGATTTGCATCCGATAGATACAACTTCATATGCGGAGATTCTTCCGAGAAAAGCAATAAAGGGCTACGTGGGCCGGACCAGAGTCATGCATATACCATAATACACGTGGGCCGCGAAAGTGTGCCATGTGCCAACAATGAGTTGGAGTTAGACAACACCCACCTAATATGAAAAAGTAGAAGAAAAAATAAAAACGAAACCCACGGGGCAGGGCACCCAACTAATTACACACAAAATGGCTGCCACTAAATGTCCGCCAACTAAAAACTTTATCGATTTCCTTCGAACAAATATCCCATAATTATGAAGAGGAGCGAACCAGAGACAGAAATATTTCTGTCGCCAGAAAGAGGGAGAAATTCCATTGGCGATGGGAAGAAAAAGTTAAATGCCCCCAGATATGCGTCCCATGCATTCCGCCGAAAGGAAGGAGCCCATGTGGATATGGATGTCGATGTGGATGTGGATGTGGATGCGAAGGTGAGGCCACGACTGGGACCTCGACTTTGTCGCTGGACACTGATCAAAAGCGGCTGCGCCAATCGAAGCGCAAAAATTTTCGTACAAATTCTTAAGCTTTGTTTCTCTGCCCGTTTTTGTTTGTATTATTTTTCCCCCTTCCCCTTCCCCTTCCCTTTTTTGTTTTTCTTTTTCTCCGCTTTCGGTCGAGGTTGCCGCTGGGCAGCAGCAGCAGCATCAGAATCAGCCTTCATTTCTCAGGCGGACATCACGAAACCCTTTTCAAGACTCGAGACTCGACTCGAGTCGAGTCGCCTCCTCTCGACTGGGCTTTATCGCGCACAATTTATCAGCCAGGTTTTTCATGTTCGAGGCCTGAAACTTAAGCCACGACAACCAACTGGCGGATTCCCTGCCAGGCAAACGCTTTCAACTCGGGTTTCTTGCGAATCGCGAATCGGGCATCGGGCATCGGGAATCGCAAGCGTGGCGAAGGCATTTGCGATTTTTCTTCGCGGCCAAAGCGACACGCCCGCCACAAAAAGGCTAATTTGTAATCCTTAGGCTAAGGCTAAGTGTGGCAACATTAATGAGTGGCCGACTCAGACTCAGACTCAGTCGCCGTCGCAGTCGCAGTCGCAGCACAAATCAAAGTCATAATTCATGATGTGCTCATTAAAACAAAAGACTTAGGCAACGAACTCGACGCTGAGATTAATCAACCAACACAAGCGCAGAGTTGGAGCTTCTGGAAAATCGCTGTATTCGCTGTTTTCGCTGTATTTGCTGTATTTACTGTATTTGCTTTATTTGTTTATCGATTTGTATGCCAAGCCATCAACACACACGACTCCATCGGCTGGATCGCCCTTCGTCGCCCCTTGGGCCATCATCATCAACCGACGTACTGATTAATAGGCAACCGCATTCCAAACCTAACTCCGCTGACTTTCTAAATATTGTTTTTGTTTCCATCTTCAACTGCGGCTGCTGCTGCTGCTGCTGCTGCTGCTGTTTGCCTTTTCCCCTAAGATGATGGAAACAGAAGTGGAGAAAAGCCAGAAGACTGCATAATCGATTCTTTTTGGTTTTCCATCGGCAATTTGACTTTTGGACCCCAAAGTTTTTCCCCCGATTCTGGCCTAGACGCAAAACGTTCTTGACGTTTTCCTCCTCTCCCCCTCTCTCTCCCTCTTCTCTCCACGATCCCCCTGCCTTTCTGGCCAGATCATCGCTGCAACCAAACCCGACTCGCTCAGCCGGTTCTGCGCACTTAACAGTTTTTGTTGCTCACGTTCGTACCGCTCTCGGCGCTCTTCACCTTCCCCCCCCTTCCCCCCTTTGCCTTCCCCTTTCCTCCGATCTGTTGTATTTTTCATTTCGTGGAAAAAGATTTTTAACTCATGGCCCGAAACCGAAAACCAAAAACAAAAAACGAAAAAGCAAAAAATAACGAAAACCCAAAACCAAGACCCCAGATGGCTGGCAACATTTTTGTGTACCCTCGCCCGCGGCAACACGAAGAACAAGAATTGTCTAGATTTAGTTGTACTCTAACAAAAGATTTAAAAGGGCATTAGGCTGGCTTTGTTTTCTCAGCGTTTAGATAGCCCCCGATCACCGAAATCGACTGGTTAACCCATTCGATCAAATTATCGGGCAATGCCTGTCCGTTAATGCCGCCGGCAATCAATGTGAATTCGGAGATATTTGATGAACAGGTAAAGTATGGTAGTATAGTACATTGATCTGATCCGTGTGGCGCTGGTGAAAGTTTCTGTCGATCCGGCGCCAATATAATATGCAGATGCAGCTGCCCGCATCGCAAGGTGTCATAGATTAACGTCCGAGACGGCAATTGCAATGCGATCGGTACGTTTATTTCTTCTATCTCTGGTTTTTTTTTTTCTCTTGCTTTTCTGTTCCCCACATAAATAATTCATAACTGTTTTGCGACAATTTCAGTCCACTGCGGCTCGGCACGCGCCTATTTTACAATGAAATTGTGTAAAAGTGCTTAATAAATTCATTTGCGCGGCCATTAAAAACACGCAGCTCATTAGGGGAGAGGGGAGGTGGGAGAGGGGAAGGGAGGGGGAGTGGCAGGGGGGTTTTGCAGAGGGGCTTAACAACGGATCGGAGCCAGAGTCTCCAAGTCCGACGCTTACGTGCGCGGATTTTGCAATTTTCCTCTCTCTCCAAGCTGATTTTTTTCCCTCTTCTGATTTTTTTTATTATTTCGCTGCGCAGAATGCTGTTGCGGCAACTTTCTTTCGTGTTGAACGTTGCTGGCTGCCCGTTGCTATTGCCACAGTGTTCTATGCTCGCGTCGTGGCGTCACGAAGGCGAAGGCAAATAAGCGCAACTGCAGCGGGTGGTGGGTTAACTTTAAAAGGGGAGTGAGGAGAGGGGAGGGGGAAGGGGAGTGGCTGGGGGGACAGGGCCATCTTCACCAGAAAACGCTGCAAGCGCAGGCGCATCTTCAGCTTGGCATAACAAATTTGCAGGCAGCAACAACAAAGCACCGACAATCGACTGTCGTCGACCAAAAAAAAAGAAACAAAGACTGCCAAAAATGTAACCTCCAAAAGAGTAATATTTCACAAAATGAGTTAGCAAACTTTAAAGATTTCAAATGAGAAATTAAGGAATTACCTAATTATTTAAATAATTTAATGGTAAAAAAAATATTGTTGATACCTTTACATCTAAAATTATATTTTAAGAAGTGTTACCATAAAGTAATAATAAAAAGTTCAATGAACCTTTTCAGTTGTAATAAATTATCTTTCAATTCCCGAGATCATATGTTCAGATACTGCATCCCCATATGGATTGCAGAAGAAAACATATTGTGAAGATGTTGAAAGATAAGAGATAGAGATGGGCAACCCCTAATTTCTTTCAGTGGCCGGACAAAGGCAAATCAGGCAACGAACACGAAGCGAAGATGCAGCAAACAGAGAGGGGCACAGAAAGGCGGCTGCTGCCTCTTGGCTCTTGGCTGGAGATGATGGCGATGCTGATGCCTTGTGGCGGCTCATCTGGCTGGATTCCCCCCTCCTTGCCCCTCCATTCCCTTGATCCTCGTGATCGCCTTGATGATCAGCATCTTCTGCTTTCGGGTTTTCGTGTTCGAAGCGCGTTCATTTTGTTTCGAACAACAATTGGGCGCAGGTCGTGAGGCACGACAGCCGCAGCCGCAGCAACAGCAACAGCAATGCCTGGATTAGATAAGCTTATTGTTTGCGCTGTTGCCAGTACTCTTTGTTCTGGAATCCGAACCCCCCTCCCCTCTGATAGTCCCCCTTAATCAGCGAAAAACCCCCAACTGGGCTGAGATGCAGCTTTTGGCTTTTGCTTTAGCTTTAGCTTTGGTTTTGGTTCTGGCTTTTGCTTTGGCTCTGGCTTAATGAGCACGCCCTGGCGCCATTTTTGGTCTGCTGCCTGGCTTTGAATTTTCGCATTCGCAACTATTTTTAGGCATAGAACGGCCAGCGAGCGAGACGGAAAAGAAAATCGGGGAGAGGTCTCAGAAGCGATTTCAGCGGCAACTAAGGCAGCAATTCGTGGGCAGAGGACCGACTCAATCTCGGCTTTAACTCTGCTTTTCGAAATCGAACGCCCACACGCAGAAAAAAGAGGCAAAGAAAAAAAGGCGGAGGCAGATACTCGAACGAACTGCAGTCAAAAGTTCAAAACAGTCAACATGGGAAAAAATATGGTTTTTCATGCCATGTGTGGTTGATTTTAGTTAATACACAACAAAGCATTACTATATAATTTGTTATTATTATGGCTAAAGATTAAGAAAAGTGTTAAAAATTATAATTCAGATCTAGAATACTTTTTAAGAAGTTATTGTGTTATACAATGAATCTTCTCAGAACCTCAAGTTGTTCTCTACATATTTTTAAGCTTTAGAGTTGTAAAACTATATTTTGAGTTGTATAATAATTTAAATTATATAAATCCGAATTCTGTTCTTTTTTCTGTGTAATCTAGGAAAACTGTTTTTGGGTCCAGGAAAACCAAACAAAAATGCGCAGAGAGCACGGAGCTCTTTGGAAACAATCAACAAGTGAGCGACAAACTGCGCAATCGCAGCAGCTCGAGATGCTCTTTCCTCTTCAGACGCTCTCGGCTCTCACTTCTCTGTGTGTGTGTGTGTGCATCTGTGTGGGTTTTAGAAAACCAGTATTTCGACTTGGGCTCAAAATTGCTGGAAGTAGTTGAACGGCTAAAAGTAAATGCAACGCTAATGCATCAACGACTGCAGCCGCAGACCAGGCCTTAAAGTTCAGCATTGGCTGAAAGCTGAAAGCTGAAAGCCAAGCTCCGATCATTTCGCTGTTCAATTTGGCCATTATTTCTTTGATATGATGGCTTAATCAGAAATATCATAGAAGAATGCAAAGCGCACACACACACACTGGCAAAGGCAGCGCGTGCCTGACGCCGTAATTAGCTGGAAAATGGGGGTTTTTCAGGGGGACCGGGATGCTGGTTGGACTCGGACTTGGACCCACTGTGGAATGCGGTTTTTCAAGCGCTCGCACGCACACTCATGCCGCCCTGAGATGGGCTTAGTGTGTGTGTGTGATGGGATCTAGGTGGGGGAGGTGGGTGGTTAAAGTTGTGGGTTTAAGCCAGCCGCAGATTTGGAGAAGAAAACTTAGGAGTATTGGTATACTGTTTACCATAAATTCTTTGAATATTTTAATCTTTAATCTTTAAGATGATAAACATGAAACACTAAAATAAAAATAAAGTTCCAATAAAATATGTTTATTAAAATTGTAGTTAAATAGTAAAAGTAGAAATAGTAAGAATAATAAACGAGTAACTCGTAAAAATCAAGCAATAATTTATTGCAGTAGTTAGAATAACTAACCAACGGAGAAATTCTACGGAAAAATGTTTGATAACCCATTGAATATTTTCGAGCTATAAAGACGTCAACAACAAATGCCAGTTGTTCGGGTTCCTCAACCCCCTCGTTGGATTTTTTTTTAACGGTTTCAATTCGCCTGCACGTGCAGCTTGCGGCAGGCTTTTCTCTAGCATTTATTTGCATATTTGCCGCAGCTGTGCTTATTTATGGTCATAAAGAAACAACGAGGCAGCAACAGAGTGCAAACAACTCGAACAATTTCAGCGGAAAAGGGCTTTGTGTCAACGATCGTCTGTGCGAAAAAAAGAGTTATAATCATCACGAATATCGAGGGGAGATAGAGGGGATCGGGGATCATTATCGGTTTCATAACTCTGTTATCTGGCCAGATATCCACATATCCGGCTATGCGGTTGTAGGCCGCCATTAGCATGGCCCCTAGCCAAAGTTTTCCTATCAATATTTGCACAGTTGCTGGCGCACAAAGCGCACATTCAGTTATTAATTTGCAGCTACAAGATCACTGAATGCTGGATATCGACGGGCGGCCTTTGTGCGCCTCCCTTTTTCAATTTTTGTTCACATTTTTGTTTGCCCGGCTAATGCAAACATTTGCCTCAAAGTATTGTGCAAACAGACACGGCCAGCTACGCTACGCAGCGCAGTTCATTAAATTGTGGCCAAATGGTTGTTCAAACAGTCAGCCAGCCCAAAAGATCGAGAACGTGAATATTAATATTAATTTTCCAACGGCGAACAACCAACAGCCGAACCGTGCCAAGAAAACCTCGGCAATTGCAGAGTCAACAAGTCGAGTCGCCATTTTTAGCTGGAAATTGTGTCGCTAGTTGCTGCAAATTTCTGCTGACTGCGGGGAAAAGTGCACGCAGTCGGCGGGAAAAGCAAGGCGGCTTTAACACTAACTAACTACGCTTTACCTTGTACATTTGACATTACGAAATGCATAACGAAATGCTCTCCTTGGCTAATCAGTGTGTTCTGGTATTTGCTGTTTGCCGTGATATCTGATGGAGGGCGGTGGGGGAACCCAAAAAATGAAAAAAACTAAAACAGGGGGCGATAGTGCACACAAGACTCTTTGACTAAGCCAGCGCCAAGTCAAGAGGTGAGCCACAGGGCAGGTGAGACCAGCAGCAAAGGGCAGGTAAAAAACGGGCAGAAGGGGTTTTTGCGACTATGAGATACCCTGGCGTATACTTGATATTTTGCCATAGTAAATATAACAACTCAAATTGCTTTTAAAGCAGGAGTACAAATAAATGTGTGGAGTAATCATAAGAATACAAACCATAATATAGCAAAATTTTATTATTTGGAGAAAAATAATAAATATACACCAATAAATATACAATTTAACATATAAATTTCATTTAAATTCCCGTCTACCCCTCGATAACTGACTTTCCCAGGGTAGCGATAAGACCAAATAATACGAAATGCAGTCGAAAACGTAGCTAAATACAAAATGCAGCATAAGGGGCAAACAAAACAAAAACAAGAGCCCACCGGCGATAAGATAACCGACAGCATATCGCTGGAACCAAAATGAAAACCCCAGAAACAAAAATAACACTATTAAATCAAGACTTCAGGTGATACGGTGGCCATATTTGGGCCGACTTGGCTCTTGATGATATATGGGCAGGCAGGCAGATGATCTACATAAACAGATTGTGATAGATGGGTCCCCTCTTTTCTTTGAAGAAGACGGATGGATGGAATACAGTAGATCCTTCGGTGGTGCACTTACTTTTTCCCTTGACAAACTCGTTGGGCTTCTTGTCCTCCAGACTGGTGGGAACGGTAATGCCACCGGGTCCCAAGCCGAGGGCGAAGTTCGCCCCGCCCCGCTGGCGATCCCTGGCCGAGCTGCTCCGATAGACGAACCGATCCCGATCGCGATCTATATCCTGGTGTCGGGGGCGACCATTCTGGCGGGCGTAGCGATCGCGGGCCGCCGAAGCGGGCCAAATGCAAATGCAGGCGACCAGGAGCAGCAGCAAAAGTGGCAGGCAATGGCCGTTGCGCCGTCGCAGCAGCATTTTGTGGGCGGTGGATGGTGGTTGTGGGCGGTACAGTGGGATGAATCAGGCCCTCTTCCAAGCTATAACCCCTGACGTCATAGGGGTTATTTTTTTGTGTTTTTTTTTCGTGAACTTGCGGTTTACTTTTGGCCGTTTCTTTTCGCTTTGTATTTTTGCTTTTTTGCTCACTCAGCTTTGCGTGCCAAAGATACAATTTTTTCATAAATTTTATTCCGACTCTTTCACTGCGTTTCTTGTTGTTGTTGTTGCTGTTGTTTTGTATTTAAGCTGTTGTCGTTGCAATTTGCCACTGTATTGGTGTTTACATTTCACTGTGTGTGCGTGTGTGTTTTCGAGTGGGTCTGCCAACGCGTGATTGTGTGTGTGTTGTAGGAACCAGTTTCACATTACGAGCCACAAGAGTCGTCCGAAGGCTTTAATATATATATATATATACTCGGATATATATTTCTTATTATTTTTTGTGTTATTTTTAAGATGTATTTTTCAGCTTCTTGAAGTCCGCCGATGATTTTGAGGTTAGAAAGGTGTGCGCAGGCGCAGCTTTTGGTAATTGCTCTAAGCAATTGTGTTGCCCCCGCAGACTTTAACTTGCACAAACACTCTTGGCCATCTTTCGAACTGAGCCACCGCTGCCAATTAGCAGGGTAATCACAAAATCACGTATAGTATAAGTGTATAGCCGAAAAGCACTTGTTTTACACCCGTTTCGAGGTTTTTGCGGATTGCGATTTCTCGGTATTTCGATTAGCACAACCGTCGAATTAGCAATCGCCGCGATCGAGAGCAAAGATATCGCCAAGGATTCGAGCCGAGCGATTCGCGTCTGCGCAGCAACAAGTTTTTTTCGGGACTGAAACCAAAAGCGAAGCCAAAGGCAAAGATACTCTCTCTCTGCGCTGCTCTCTCTCTCTCCCCGGTGTCTTGCTCTCTCTCTCTTGTGCGGCGAAGAGAGCGGCCACAGGTAAAAACGAAATGTAAAGGTGAGCGGCTGGCAGGCGAAATCTCAAGCGCAGATCAGGTCAAAATAAAAGCAGAGCCAGAAACTCTGGCTCTCACAATAGCCAAGCCAAGGCACAGCTGCAGACTGCTCTCTCTCTCGCACTCGCAGTATGGCCCTCCCACTCTCACTCACGGCGGGGCATCCACAGGTAATCGTAAACGTAGCAGCGTTTTAAAAAGTCAGCGTAATACGAAGTGATACGGCCAGATACGTTGGGCAACCTCTTCTGGCCAACGAATGCTCTACATTGCGTTGGAAAATGCAGAAAAAACACCACACAGAGTGCCCCAGAAACAAATGAAACGCTATCTGAAAGTGCGCAATTATCACCTGGTATATCCTTAAATGTGTGCTACATTTTAGAGGTATCATTATTCTTGGATCAGATAACCACACAAATAATATCTGACTATTTTGAATAGTAACTTTGTCCATTTTGGTGACATACCTCAAAACGGTTGTAATTGAATTCCCTAAAAATGTGTCTTAAAATTTTTCATTTTGGAGATGGTCAAAATTTTGACCCCTGTTCATGTCAGATTTTTCCAAGTTTCTTATATTATAGATCCCTATACTGTATAATATACATATAATAAGAAATAGTTGAATCGACTCTCGATTATACATAAGTAAAAAATATTTTGTTCCTTTTTTTTAAATGAAAGTGCGGACCTCAGTGGTAGAAAATAGGAACACCTCTTTAGTTGGGACTTTAAGATTAGGCGCCAGCTGCAAAGCACAGCAACTTGTTGACTGTGTACTTTACAGGAGGGTATTGTTACATAGGTAGGCACTTCAAGAACAATCCCCTGATTTCCCCCTCCCCCGAAATACCCGAAATACCCGAATACCCAATAGCAATGGCAAAAACGATGCGGGGATAATCCGGCAGCATCTTAACTCCGACAGATGCGCAAGGGCATTTAAGATTCGCATCGATTGCAGGTCGCTCTCTCACAGGTAAGATCTTGTGTATATATCCCAATTTCTTGGCACTATTGTTGTTGTTGCTGGTCGTTCTGTTGTTTAGTGTCGCTCGTTGTTGTTGTTGTTTCTTCACCCGATTTGCGGCGAATTTGAAAACGCTCAGGTAAAACGATCACCGCTCTCTCACCTGGCCTACAGTGTATTTGTGTGCATGTGTGTGTGTGTGGGCAATGCTGCCATATAAGCACTCAAGATCTCAGCATTTCTGCATCTGTATCTGTATCTGTGTGCCCGCATCTGTGTCCGTGTATCTGTGAGCCGAGCCTGCGTGGGCCATCGATTGTCTTTTGGCAAAAAACGAAAGAAAAAAATCCGATATCTGTTCGAGCGTTGTCAACATTGTTAGGGCAGATCCAAGATCTCCGGGACTCTTCACCTGTTCCCGACTGCAACCCACAAGAAATCGGGGTTTTTACGCCTGCGCCATGTGCTCCGCGGGACAAAATGGGCCAAAAGGACACTGTTACGGCAGGTAAAACCGTTTTGACCTTTTGCCAGGGAACAAAAGGTGGCTCGGTGATCGGTGGAAAAGCGCAACCAACTCGAGAGCCGCATTCGAATCTCGGAATCCCACGCTGCGACTCTCGAGAGGCGTTGCATTGTCTCGCTCGGCGCTTTGTTTTAAGAGCATGAAAATACATTTAAATTGAAAAGCGTTTGGCTTTCTCGAGTATTCGGGGCGGGGAAAGCGCCGTTCTGCGTTCTTCGTTCTACCATCTTCGATCCGCAGCCATAATCAAACGTATTAATAGCCGTCCGTCTGGGGAGGAGACCTCAATCAAAAGGGCCAGTGCCCAACCCGTACGAAATCATCTGTCAAAATCGAAGAGCCATGCAACTGACAGGCCCGAACATCGAGTTGAGAACGATCTGAGAACTCCGAAACCACTTCGGGCCACTCCGCCACTCCACCACCGAGCTGATCCACAGGTAAACGCCGCTCTAAAAAGGTGTAAGATGCCGAGATGCCCCGACCCACACTCATAAACATTTGATCGAGCGTACAAAATGCCAAGCGAGGAGAAATGTTTGATTTTTTTCTACTTTTTGTTTTTTATTTGTAACTCCCCCACTCCAGCAGCACAGCACTCCACTCCATCTGCCTATGATCTCCTCGGGTTTTTCCTATTTCAAAAGAAAGCCTCGAAGAAGCAGACCCTTGAAGTGATTCCTGGCCGCTCTACAGGTTGTCGGATCCATCGGAATCATCGTGATCATCACCATCGATGTCTGGAAGTCGGGGAGTCGCAGTCGAGGCGTTACTTTCAAGTGCCACGCAGATTAAGAGCAACAAAAGATCGGCTCAGGAGGCGCTCAAGTGTCTCGTCCCGAGGAGGGATGCTCCAGCCCATAGGGCGCAACGAATTGGTGGCATTGTGCGGCTGAAGTGTTGCACATTGGCACATGATGCTCGACAAGGGGAAAAATAAATACATACATATGTACTCAATACATAACCACCACGCTGCATTCCTTTATTTGCGAAGAAAATATTGAATATTACATTTAAAGGCTATTTAAAGAAACCTTGGCGACTTAAGATAAATTCGCATATTTACCAAGGTTTTCACATACCACAGGCAAAATATTGGTTTTATTAGCGAAGCTATAACGTCTTAAATGTGTGAAATATTAAATAGCAATATGTATATCCAAGAAGTAATAAATAGGAATGCTTTATTTAGTGTTTTCTTAAATTTAAAAGCATAAATTAATTTTATGAATATTTGACTGTTTAAAGATTTTGGAACATTAATATTCCAATTAACTTGTTTGCATGCTTACATGTTATATAAATCATTGGACTGTCATTTGATACCCCAATATTTTAAACACAATATAATGACCTCTCTAAAAATACGACAAAATTGGCAAGCTGTTTGGCTTTGCCAAGCTATTAATAGTTTACCCAAAGTTTCCCCAACCATTATAAAATCATTAGGTTGTTTTCAAAGAATTCCCCAGTAATCTTTGTGTTAAGAAAATATTTACAAAAGATTTTATGCAAACAAGACAATAACCTCTGAATTAAGCAGTTGTGTCGCCTTCATTTTGGCCAACTTCAAACGCGTGCCAGCCCTAACACCTGAATCCGCGTAATTGGATTACTGGGCCCTTTTGGCCGAGACTATTACCTTGGCAAAGGGTATATCTCTCGATACAGACGATAGATAGATCGATCAGATTCCGGCTGCGGTTGTGCTTCATCAGCATTCAACTTGTCACATGGCTGTGAAAAGCTGCTTAGAATTAAAGCTAATTGCCGGGGCCCCAAAACATGATGCGGCACATTTGGCTTTGATGGCTCTTTAGGGCCAGCAGCGCCGAGTGGCATTCCTCCTATTCAGCCCGGCTAATTGGTCGCCAGATCGAGCAAAGCCTTTACTTTAGCTTCAGCTTTAACTTTAACTTTAACCCCCAACCAAAAAGGCAGGCGTGCAAATACGCAGAAACTTTGACTTCTCATCTCATCGTTTTAGCATAAAGAGTTTTGTTTTTGTTAGTGCCTTTGGTTTTGCTGGGCTTTTTACTGATTTTTTTTATTGATTGTCGCCGTCGTCTACTGTGTTGGTTCACGACTCACGTTTCAAAATAAAAACACAAAAACAAGCTGGAAAAAAAAAACGATGAAACGAAATACAAAATACAGAAAGAGTGCCCCAACGTCTCTCGGAACGATTTCGAGTTTTTTTTTTTTTTTTGAGCTTAGCTCTGTGTTCCTCGTATTTTTATTTCGCCGTTCGCTTTTCGTTCCTTTTAATGTCTTTGTAAACATAATTGCAACAACTCCAATAACAGATTGTTTGCGAGTTTAATCGTTTTGTCGTGAAGTGTGAAATATGAGCGGCCAAGTCGCTGGGGAGCTTTCGGCGGAACTCAGTTCGAGGGTCCGAGTACTCCTCCCCCGCACCTCCACCCTCGACCTAAAAATACTCACAAAAAATATGTATTTTAGTTGAGGCTGTCGAGCATTTGCAATGTGTGGCTTGTGCCGCCAAATGTAAATTATGGTCCATCAAGCCAGCGAGCAACATTGTTGGGCGGCCATTTTGGCAGCGCACGGCAACAACAAGTTCAATTAGCGCATCGCTTCGATTTGCTAAATTTAATCCGGGCTCGGAGCACGAAGTGAATGCCACTCCGGTCAGAAGATAAGCAGAAGCAGCTCCGGAGAAAGAGAGAATCTTCTGGCGGCGATAAGCGCGACGAGAATTTGAGGAACGGACGTTTTAGCCACGCACACGTGTGCTCCACGCAGAGAAAAGCCAGCAATCTCAGTTCGTCTTCTATATAAAAGACTTCCATCGCAATATTTAGTATCAGGTGTAGTATAAAAACCACTTAAATTGTTTACAAACAAAATTGAATACTCTTGATAGCACAATCTTGTGTTGCATATTATACAAAACAATTCATTTTTAATGTTGTTCATTTATTTGGGTTAACTTTATAATACTAAGTCGGAAATACTCGTATAAATTAATTTTTTCTTAGAAGTCAATTTTTGGGATTTACTTATTTTAATTCATTTTAATTTAATTGAAAAAAATACGATTCAAGAATGAGAATCGCAAAAAGTTGTACATTTTGTTTAATTAATATTTGAATGAATTGATAAAGCTTCCATCGCAATATTTAGTATCAGGTGTAGTATAAAAAACCACTTAAATTGTTGACAAAATTGTATACTCTTGATAGCACAATCTTGTGTTGCATATTATACAAAACAATTAATTTTTATTGTTGTTCATTAGTTAGTTGACCCAAATAAACTTTATAATACTAAGTCGGAAGTACTCGTATACATTATTTTTTCTTAGAATTAGGTTGTTGGGATTTACTTATTATGACTCATTTTATGTTATTCACAAAAAAATACGATTCAAGAATGGGAATCGAAAAAAGTTGTACATTTTGTTTACTTAATATTTGAATGAATTGATAAAGCTGCGAAGGGCAAAATGTCAGAGTTGACTAATGTTTAACACCAAATTTATTTAATTAATTACCCGAAAAAAACCCCAAATTTCTGTCCGATTTTAGTTCGTTTTTTTTTCTCTCTGCAGCGATTGGGTTGGCGTTTGCCTTTGGACCTTGGAGAGCAGGGCGCCCGTCGACAACAGCATGTTGCAACAACACTCGACAGCGGCAACCTGTGGAGCCTGCGTGCCATTAGCCATGGAGCATGAAACAAAAGCCGAGCCACAAAGATGGAGCACTCGGGAGGAATGGAAGTGAAGTGGAATGGAATGGAAAGGAATGGAAAGGCAAGGAAGGGAAAGGAGTGCAGCAGTGCAGCAGAGTGGAGTGGCAGTGTGGAGTGGAGAAGGCCTGCCACAATGCATTTGCGATAAATGGCAGGCTTGGAGGCCTGGAAGGCCCTTAAAAGCCAGCGACAACAACAGCAGAAGACCACGACGACGAAGAAGTGAAAGATTTGCGCAGTGAGATAGCTCATTTTGGATGTGAGTCGGGTCTGGGCCAGTTCTTCGTTTGTTACCTTGGCTAATCGGCGGCTATGTAAGATGGTTGTTGTACGTGCGGCGACAGAGCCGCAGCCTCAGTTCCAAAGTCAAGACCACGAACGTGCTGTTTCTGTTGCTGTTGCCTGTTGCCTGTTGCCTGTTGCTGTTCGATGTTGCCGATGTTGACACCAGCAACACCAACAACAACAACAGCAGCATAAGCACCAGCAACATCAGGCGACCACAGCCGCATTCCGAAATGTAAGGATTCATGCAGCTTGGAAGATCCGAGATCCGAGGGCCGCCCCACTTGGCAGCAGCCCCGGCAAGGTCAATAAATCCAGAAATCCAGATCCACTACCGATTAGTGATGGCTAGCGTATTATTTCCCTTGAGCCAATAAGGCAATTTAGTCAAGGTCCACAGGCTTTAATTTGTTGCATGTGCAATTGTAATTGGTTTATTGAATTTGCAACTTTTTCGTTTTTAAGATTTTCGATATATTATTATGGCCTTTAAAAAATGAATTAACCTTTTTTATAAAATTTTACTTCTTGTATTTTAATAAGTTTACATTTTGTATTTACCATCTTCTAAATAAATATTTAGAAAACCTTAACATTAAGCATTGTAAACCCAGAAATACCACAAGTCATTTAAAGCCTATCGGCATTTATCTAGATACATTCCATCATTTGGATGGTGAGTAAACGTTTGGCTGGCATTTAAAGCCCCTCAGAACAAAACCATAAAAACCTCATTTACAAAATCGCTGGATTTTGCCTGCTTGTCACACACTGAATACAAACAAAGCTCTCATAATTAGAAGAAAATTAATTTCGTATCTTTACCTCTGCTTCGAAGTTCAAACATTCCAATTCGAATATTCAAATTCCAATGCTATTCATTTTTTGCGGCTCATTTGCTTATTTGCTTATTTCAAATGAAAATGATTATTTCTTTCTGAGTTTGTTGTTGCTATCTCGCCTTTTGATTTGTGTGTGTGTTTTTGTTTTTTTTTTTTTGTTTGTTTCAGAGTGTGTGCAGTCAGAGTTTCGAACTTAAACAGGTTTGGGCCACAAAACAGCAGCAGCAGCCAACGTTGGCCGTTGGTTACCAAAGCTTCGACTTGGCCAGCGAGAAAACGAGAGAGAGAGAGAGAGAGAGAGAGAGAGAGATCGAGGAGATCGGAGAACGGAGAACAAGATGCTGGCTAACTGGCAAGCTGGCAAACCCACACACCGATCTTTCTTAACTCTCTTTCCAAAGAAACGATTGCTCAGCATCCACACACACACACGCACACACTCACACAAGCAAAGCTAGATAAATAGGGGGAATTTGTGGGGATACTGGGTCTTTGTTTCCCCTCAAAAATTCCCCCAGCTGCAAACTAAAGATAAGAGGCCAGATTTATGTTTTGCGAAACAAAAATATTGTTCAGATATCAAAGGTTATCAACGCTTGTCAATAAAAAACAATATTTATTTTGAGGACTTTTTTTTTGGTATCAAGCTAATTAATCAAATATTCGCTAATCTACTTTAAATTGTTTCATATAAAAGAACTTTAGAAAAGTCGCAAAAGATGCGCGTTGGCGACTTATCTCTGTTTACTTCAGAATAACGAAACCGCAGAGCCTGGCCATTTAATCTCTTCAAGGGGCCGATGCCATGAAGATCGTCGCAGGTTTTTTTACTTTGCTTTCAGTACTGAAATTATGTATAGGAGAAACACATGTCTCATATTTGGAGCCCGATTGTGGAGTCTCAGTTTCGGGATCCAGCACTAAGAGCAGCAGGATCATCAATGGCCGTGTGGCAGATATTTTTGGCAACCCATGGATGGCACTGATCAGCGGTGGAATTATGTGTGGTGGTTCCCTAATTACAAACCGTAAGTATTTGTATTACAAAATGTATTATAGAATTTTTAATAATAAATTACGGTTGACAGGATTTGTGCTTAGTGCAGCACATTGCAGAAGTTACAGTCCCACGTGAGTGAATTTAATCTTCAAGGACCTCTAATCCCCTTATAATTCTTCAATAGAATGGTTTACCTAGGCGAGTTCGACAGATCTACCATCACGGATTGCTCTACCAAAGCCTGCATGCCAAATGCAATTGGAGTCCAAGTGGACGCACAAATAGCTCATCCCAACTACGTGCACTTTTCCCAAAATGACATTGCTCTCTTTCGACTGGTTACCCCGGTACATTATACAGGTAAGTAAATACCTAATACCATCAGGGTCACTAACCCCTCAACTTACTTTTCTTTAGCCTTCATTAAACCAATCTGTTTGCTGACCAACTACAATCCATTGGCCCACATCCGATCTCTGACTGCCGTGGGTTGGGGAACCACCGAATTGGGAGTGGCAAGTAATGTTTTGAGGACCGCCACCCTAACGCAAGTGGATCGGTCCTACTGCTCTGCCAAGTACAGATACAGAGTGGATATGTCCCACATTTGTGCCGGAGACTACAGTTCGAGTACCTGTGCAGGAGACTCCGGCGGGCCAATATCCGCCATGCTACCCATTTCCGGAGTCAATCGAGTGGTTCAGTTCGGAATAGTCAGCTACGGAAACTACGATTGCAGAGAGGTGGGGGTGTATACGAATGTCATGCACCACATTGACTGGATTGCAAATACCATACGACAGGGAGGATCTCAAACCCCACGAGTGTACTACTATATGCCTTGGTATTACATAAGTTAAAGCTCCCACTTATAACATTTACTTTAAATATGAATATATAGTATATTTGCTCCACTTTTAGGGGATATTTTTGAGAAGCACATGCTTTTATCAAAGTTCTTATTTACTTCGCTCTCCGCTTTTATTTTAAAGGCAGTCAGTTTGTCGACATTGCTTGGAGATGATGTACGCAAAATACGCTTTTCTGATGTTCCTTCTCGGTATAGGAAAGATATCTGGAGAAGAGTCATCAAACTTTCTTGACGAATCTTGTCAACGGAACCTCGGCTCAGCAAGGATAGTGAATGGTCATGAAGCTCAAGAATCCACAACTCCATGGATGGCGATGATCGTAAATAAGGAGGGTTTAAAGTGTGGCGGCACATTGATTACAAATCGTAAGTTATAATTACTGAAATGGAAACCATAACATACCTACTATATATGATATATTAATTTACAGGCTTTGTCCTGACGGCCGCACATTGCTTGTTAGCCGGTAATCTGTGAGTAATACAACAAATGTTCCACAATAATCAGATAATGTTAACTATTTGTGGGATATTCAGGAAAGTAAGATTGGGCGCATATCATTTAAGGACGGAGGAGAGTGCAGTGGTCCAGGAGTTCGAAGTCGATGAATCCTATCAACACGAGAATTACACGGAGTTAAGGCACGATATATGTCTCTTAAGACTGGCCAAAAGGGTGAAGTTTACAGGTGAAAAACTAATCTACTTCCAAGGAAAGAACTTGGTTTTAAAACGCCCTTTCCACAGCTCACATCAGACCGATTTGTTTGCTGCTGGACCCGCGTCATCGAAATCTTGAAGATATGGTGAGAAAATTCAGAATATACGGCTGGGGTCAGACCGAAGATGGTGACTTTAGCCAAACGCTGCAATGGACATCGCTTCACCTTCATCGGCGTGCAGAGTGCTCTAAGTTTTATCCCGAAGTGACCATTGGCCGGGAACACATCTGTGCAGGACGAGATAAAAGCGGCTCCTGCACAGGCGACTCTGGCGGTCCTTTGACCGGCAACATACAAATTGACCGTGACCGTGAGACTGTAATCCAGTTCGGAATCGTTAGCTTTGGGGCCGAGAACTGCACTTATCCCACCGTCTTTACAAATGTCATGGCCCATTTGGACTGGATAGTGGATGTCGTTCGCAGTCAAGATAAAAATACTTCAAAACTTGAGTTCATTTCTTCATTTTAAACTTATTTTAATTGCGTATTGTATTATTGTTTTTGATACTTGTTCTTTCTTTCTTTTTTTAAATAAACTTTTTTTTAAATATATAAGTATAATAAGTCATAAAAACGCAAACTGATAAGCAAAGTATTTAAACTCGCCACCGAGTTTGCCTTTCCTCAGTACTGTTGAAATGGACTTACTCTTCGCTTGTCTAATTCTCGGAATCCATGGATCTCTTGCCTACAGCTTGCTGGATCCGAGCTGCGTAGAATACCCGAGAGTATCCCCCCTAATTTACGGAGGGGAAGCCACTGATATATTGAATAACCCGTGGATGGTGCAGATACTTAAAGCTGGGAGACATCATTGTGGCGGATCGTTAATAACCCCCCGTATGTAATTGAAATGGCATGACTTAAGCGTGATTATTAAAATTTGTTTTTAGAATTTATTTTATCAGCGGCGCATTGCCAAAGCAAATCAAATTTGTAAGTATCTAAAGTGCAATGCATATATATGTGTGACTTAACGATGTTATGTATTTAGAACAGCGCGTTTGGGTTATAGTGGAAACAGCAAAAGAAAAGTCTGCAGCGATGGAAAGTGCAGTTCGGCGAGTGTGGAAATCAATTTGGATAGAACCTTCGTGCACCCAAACCATTTCAATTATCTTTATTATGACATTGCTATATACAGACTGGAAAGGCCAGTGCAATTCAATGGTAAGCGCATAGATTTTGCGAACTTAAGAGCTCAAGTACTCATGAATCGCTTCCTCTCAGCTCAAATAAAACCGATCTGTGTTATACGCACGTTCTACAGGGAATCCCAAACGATGATTTTACAAAACGTCGGTAGGTTTAATGTGACTGGCTGGGGACTAACGAGCGAAGGAGAGAACAGCCGAGTCCTTCAGATAACCAGCTTAGCCCATCTCGATCGGCAGTTCTGCACGACAACCTTTAGGATGAATATCGACGAGGATCACATCTGCGCTGGCGATGTGAACACCGGCACTTGCAACGGAGACTCTGGGGGACCCTTGAGTGCCAGGATGGAGTTCGAGGGCAAGGTGCGCCCCTTTCTGTTCGGCACCACCAGTTACGGAGCTCCTGGGTGTCGTACGGCCAGTGTTTTCACGAGTGTTATGGCATTCTCTGACTGGATTTCAAACGTGGTTTATCTTAACACCCCCCGAGAAGACCGCTCCACCAACTACTTTGGCCAACGAAGGACGCGAATGTATCCAAATTCATAAAACAATATCAATGATCACTTTGCGGACTTGGAAAGTTTTTTGAAATTTTGTTTAAAAATACAAAACCAATGATCTATCCCGGTAATGAACTTCAGTGAGATTTTAATCAGAGTACCCTGTTTTAATGTTTTTACCAAGCAGACTTAGAAAGACCAAACACCAATTTGACCCCATAATTCTGTGAATTTCTATATACGCAAGCTATTTCCTGGAACTCCGGCCATTGTTGCATTATAGCGATAAGCCCGACGATGTGAGGCATTAATAAGGCGCTGGCATTGCGAATCATCAGTCAGTTCATTTATTGTTACAGATGCATTTCGTGGCTTCTGCAGCAGGAGCAGTAATGCTCGTATTTTTACTGGTTATCAGTGTTTTTCAGGTGGAGGGCTCTCCACATTTGTTGGATTCGCAATGTGCATTGGCGAAATCCGATGGGGTACAGTACCGCATGATCCGGGGCAAACGTGCTGATGTACTTTCCAACCCCTGGATGGTGATAGTAATCGAACGCGGGATAATGAAGTGTGGAGGGTCCCTCATCAGCCCACGTATGTAGCTTGAATATTTCTTGGCAAGTACTTCGATTGGAAATAACTTGTAAAGCTTTTCAGGATTTGTACTGACCGCTGCGCATTGCAGAAGCGAAAGCAACCGACAACTGTACGTATTGCTAAAAATGTAAAGAATTGTATACTGGGTATTGAACATTCCCATTTAGTACAGTGCGTTTGGGGGAGTATGATGTTAATCAGCCACTTGATTGCACGCGTTATGGCTGTATTCCTCGGCCCAAGGAAATCAATGTGACCAGAATCTTTTTTAATGGTCAATTCACCGACTTCCACCGAAATGATATAGCACTTCTCAAGCTGGAAACGGCAGTTCAATTCAGCGGTAAGCTGGTAAAACCAGGTATGGTCTTTATTTAAACTCTTATTCCCCTACAGAGCACATAAGACCGATCTGCTTGATAATGGGGGACTCGAATTGGTCGGGGAAGGTACTGAGGCACATTGCGTTATTCAACACTACTGGATGGGGTCGCACCGAAAGCAACACTAACAGCGCCGGCCTCATGCAGACAACCCTGACGCACTTGAGCCCCGCCTTCTGCTCCCAATACTTCAAAAGTCAACTAGATCACAGCCAGATCTGCGCGGGCAGCTCGACGAGTGCCACTTGTTCCGGGGACTCGGGAGGGCCCTTGAGCGCCAGGTTGCTGTTCCAGCGGGAGAAGCGGGTCATCCTCTTCGGGGTGGTTAGTTATGGGTCAAATGTCTGTAACGGGCCCACTGTCTTCACGAATGTCCTGTCCCATTCCAAGTGGATCGAACGCGTGGTTAGAAATAATTAAATTTCTTTTGAATAATCACTTGCTACTAAAGAACATTCACATAAGAATTTCATTTAAAAACCTTGTCATTCTTATCAGAGGAGCTGGAATATTTATTATACATTTATTTTCGAAACTGAGCAAAGCATAAACAATTCTCAAGAAATTGTAGATAAGGTACTGCTGAAATACCATCACAGCGAAGCTTAGTCTGTTCGCAACACTCATTCGCAATGTGCTGGGCTTTCTGGTTATTGTGTTTTTTCATAGGCTGTCAGATGGGTTTTGCCCAATTTCTGGACCAAAACTGTGGATATATGTCGCCAGAAGCACTTCGAAACGAAGGCCGCCAAGCACTGATATCAGAGAGCCCATGGATGGCTTATTTGCATGACTCTGGAAAATTTGTATGTGGCGGAACGCTCATAACCCATCGTAAGAAACATTGTAGAACAGCAATCGTTCCTTAATTTACTAAAAATTTGTTTAACTCCAAAGAATTTATCCTGACAGCCGCGCATTGCATTAACAACGAAGAGTATCTGTATGTAACAGTTGGAATTGAGCTAGTTAATCTGAATCTGAATTATTCACAGAACAGTGCGGCTGGGTGAATTTGATAGGCGAACTAGTAGCGATTGCAGTGGCTCTGAATGTGTACAGCCCTCAGAAGAGTTCGCGGTAAACTTGGCCATTCGTTACAAGGATTATTCGAGGACCCATCGTTACCATGATATTGGGTTGCTTCGATTGGCAAACTCGGTTGATTACAAAGGTAAAAAAGTGCGCACCCATTGAGAATTGTTTTCGCAAAGACAACTATTCTGCAGAGCACATCAAGCCAATTTGCCTGATTACAAACACTGCGCTTCAGCCGCGAATCGAGGGACTCCAAAGGTTTGTGGCCACCGGTTGGGGCAGCAGTTCCCCGGGATCTCCAAGCTACATCCTCAAGTCGATTCGCGTGAATCGGTTGGATCGAAGTGAGTGCCAGAAAAGGTACTTGGTGCCCTGTCGCCAGGATCAGATCTGCGTGAGTCACGACTCCGGAGAGGCCTGCAGCGGCGACTCCGGCGGACCGATGGGTCATGCTTTTCGGATCGACGGTCGAGTGGTTTTCGTTCAGGTCGGAATCGTGAGTTACGGCAACCCAGAGTGCCACAGCCCCAGTGTCTTTACGGATGTGATGGGGCATGTGAATTGGATCAAGAGGGTCGTTGATCAATACAGTATATAGTATAATAATATAAAGCCGATATCAACTAATGATCAGTTTTTGTGTAATCACTAGGGAAATCTGCCATCTGGCGGCCTTTAGCAAAACCTTGTGCGTTCACTCTTTACGCCCTGCTTATTTTTACAGTTTATATTTCACCCTGCTTGCTTATACATTATACCTTACACCCTGCTTATTTTTACATTTCATTTTACACCACTCCTCGCTGGCGACATCTACCGGTTAGCTGCAGTACCTGCGTGGCCGTTACACCAATTTTACATTGTTCTACATTTATTGTAGATCTCCACCAACTACAATATAAGCAAGGTTGCCAACCACTTTTTAGGCCAGGGTGGCAACCTTAAAACAGTAAACTATTTTCTTAAAATTTTAAAAATTATAAACAATTTTGTAAACCAACTCAATTTAAGGCACAAACTCTGAAATCAATTATCAATACTTAGTTGTCTTAATTTAAATTGCACCACAAAATTAAACTCTAAATACTTTCTGATATAACTTCTAAAAACCAATACCAATTGTGTGTTAAAAAAATAGCAAATTAACTACTAAGGTGAAAACATTCGCAATATCCCTTTCCAACTTTTTTTGTACACCTCGATGGCACACACAAATCGAATCGATTTAAGTCTCGCGTGTGCCGGCCATGCAAATCCACAGGTCGTCTGCCCACTGTGCTGGTTTCAGCGATGTTCCAGTTATGAAGCGGTCGCATAATGGCCGTCGTAGCAAATAAACTGGCATGAGGTACCATTAACCCCCGTGTGCCATTGTTGCACGTCCACAGGTCGAACTCTAACATTGCCGCTCTGCGTTGGCGTTGGCGCAAGCGCACTCACATGGATCGAGGGAATCGTAGAGATCACGGGGACAGAGGGGTGATCAGGGGGGAGCGGGGAGTGCGAGGGAATCAAGGGAATGAAGGGAATCAAGGCAGCGGGGGAGTTAAAGAACACCCGATGTGGGCAACCAGGCGTTAAGTTTTTCCAACTTCGTATTTTGGTCTGTGCTTTGTTTTGCTTTCTGTTTTGCTCCGCTCCGCTTTTGCGGGGGTGGGGGCGGGTCAAGAGGGGGTGGCGGAGGGGGGCGGTGGTACTCCCTTTTGTCGGGCAAATGCGCATGCGTGTCGGTGTCGCCACCACCGAACTGAAAGGGCCAAAAGGGGTGAGGATACCAGCGAACGAGAGCGGGAAGTTGGCCTTTTGTCCAACATCGCAGAGTGCAACAATTGGCTGCCAGCTGGGTATCTGTTGCACTCAAAAATAGACACTCAAAAAAAAAAAAAGAATCAAACTTGAAATCTGAATTTCAGAATTTAAATTAACTTTAAAATCCATTTTAAGAAGTTGTTTCTATATACCAAAGTTAAGTGGCTTAAAATATTTTTACGAACGAAGTTACCATTCTGCAACATATTACTTTCATAAACACGTTATATTTCATTGATTTTTATGGATACTTTTGAGATCAACCTAGATTTCCTTAATGCTGCATCGAAAACCAAACTACACCTAATTTTTTTCTGTGCAAATACCCTAAGCCGTTCTTGCCATAAAACACCTCATGCATAACTTTGGTATCCCCCGATTCGTCGCCACGACAACGGAGAGTCGCGTTTTAGCCGGGCCAAAACAATTGTGCCACGCTGCGCTGCTTCCAGCGGCGTTGCAGTTTAAAGTTGAATGCTGCATTTGATTACGATACGGCGGCGATTGCCACAGCGGCCTTAATGAATTTCCAATTGTTTTGGCATTTTATTCTCATTTGGGATTCTTGTTTGTTTGGTTTTTTGTTTTTCGTTTTTTTTTTTTTTGGGTATTCATTCATTGGCTTTGAGCTGAACTTCGTCACGAGCTCAGCTGCCTAATTGCTTTACAAACCTTTAATTGTTGACTCACGAACATACATATTATTTGTGCATATAGAGAACCCAGATTGGACATCTGCAGCGAACTCACCTGCAACAATAGAAAAACAAATGTTAGAGATTAACCCAGAGCTTAACAAATTCTTGCTTAATTATTTTAGGATTTTTATGCAACCAATAATAATAAATAAATTCATGTAAAAAAATTTGTAAATAATTAAACGTAAATAAATTTTTAAATATAATTCTTCTTTTAACAGTAAAACCAAAAAAATGTTTTCAACATTTGAAGTGTCTTCTACAAGGGAGTGTTCGATTGATACCCACGGCAATTGCAAAACGCTGACAAATGTTGCTGTTGCCTGTTGCTTGTTGGCTGATTGCTGGCTTTCCCAGCACTTGCAACACTTTCGCTTCCCAGAGAGTTTCCGCAACCCAACGCCACTGCCCCGCTCAACCCACCGCACCGCCCTTTCCCCACTCGGCTTTCAATTCACACGCTGTGCGCCCAAACGCGAAAAAGTTCTCACGACACTGAAACAAACCAGAAAAAAGCTAGCGTCAAAGAGATGAGATGCCAGCCAGATGAAATGAAATGATCCCCACTCCCTTTTCGCACTCGCTTTTTTTGCAAGAATTTTCAATGCACTTACCCCAAAACACAGTTGCAGATTTTGCTCGCAATGCCAAGAAGCAAAAGAAAAACAGAGCAAAGGAAAATTGTGGAAGATCTTGACATATGTAATCCCGATCCCCAGTTCCAGATGCTAATTGTGGGTTAGCAGCGCTTTGCTCTTCGCGATTTGTGCCAATTTTTTGTATGAGCCGCGCGATGAAAGATACAGATACAAAGGTCAATGCCACACTTTGTCAAATGAATTTCAAAGCGAAACCAGATCGGTAGATGCTGAATAATATGTTTGGTCATGCGGTACTCGCAGTCGCAGTGAATCATGCCAATTGAAATTTCATAATTTCTCGGAACCCCGTTGGAAGGGCAATAAAAAGTTTATTTAAAGGTGGAGTAAGAAACTAAGCTTAAAAAATAATTAAACCTTAAGTGTAAGCTTGAAAAATAATTAGACCTTAAGTGTTAGTGTGTTTGTATCTCAAAGATCCAGCTTAAGACTCGGAGTGAGTTTACTTTATTTTAAACGTACTTATTTATGTATATTACTATGTATACTTATTATGTATATGTATATTATATATATTATTATTTATATATAACAGCAATTCAATGTTTAAAACTTCAAACGAATTATTATAACCATTCCTCATTTAAATCTTTTGTGTTGTATTCCAAATCGAAGCCCTTTTCAGACCCCGTTTCCTTTTTAAAAAGATCACTTCCAGCTTGCAAGATTTTCTTAACTTATCTCTGAGTTTTTGTTCGAAACTTGTTTATGAACCGTATCTCCATCTCGGCATTTCGATTGTGCGCTAAACGTTCCCCGAATTCCCACAATTTCAGCATCCGCTTCGTATCAGCATCGGCTCTCATATGCAAATGCCCACCTGATGGCACAAACGAAAAATAAAAAAAAAAAAAAAGGTTGACCCACAGTGAACTCGAAACTTCAGAATGAAAAGCAATCTTCTCACATTATAAATCACCCAAGCCCGAATTCGAATCCGGAGGAGTCAATGTTAATTAAGTGCTAACTGCAGATTCTCAAAATCGTAGCCTCACACGATTTGATGGGCAATAAAAATGTGGAAATATATTTGTAGCGCGATCGTAGGCGGATGCTGGGCGCATAAAAAACAAATGAATTGGCAGACTAACAAATTTTTTATTTGCAGCCTGCATTGTTGTCACCAGTGGACTGGTTATGCTCTATATAGAGGGAGATATGCGAGCATATCTGCTGGCTTACGCAACTGAATGTTTGTGTGCGATCGCAGTGCGATTAGATGTAGGATCGCCTCCCTGGACAAAGTTCGAGTACAACATTATCACGCCTCGTGTCGGGTATTATGCCATCTATCTATAGACTCGGGCGGTGTCAGAAGTTATCGCAACCCCCTTTGGATTCAATAATAAGCCAGATCGTGGAGCTGAGCGGAGCTGCACTGTTTGCAAGAAAGTCAAGCAGCGAGCTGAGCTGAGCTTAGCGGAATTTCAGAGGAGGAAAAACACAAGTACTGAAACGCTGGCGACAACAAGCTGATTCCGATGAAAAAACCAAACAAAATATATTAAAATATATATATATTACAGACACACGAACACACACAGACAACAGCGGCCACAAAAATAATTGAAAAACAAATGGAAAAAGAGCGAGAGAGACGGGAAAATTAATACTGAAATAAAATATGAAATGTTGGCAATTAATGAACAGAAAAAAGAGCTGTGGAAAAAACGGGCTTGCGACATGACCGATCCAACGACCGATACCAGACGCCTCTGACTCCAACTGGGTGACCACTGGGTCTGGCCACGGCCCAGTGACTTCTGCCGGGGCTTCTGCTCTAGCACATATGCACTGAGAGAAACGGATGGCACTAGAACTGCACTAGGTTAAAGAAGAACTTAACATTAGCTAAAGGAGGTGGAAAGCTAACAAGTTATGTAGCCCCAAATAACATTATTTTAGCAAATGTTTGAGCTTTCAACTTAAACTCAGTTATGAGAATTATATTAATCTTAGTATTAATAAGTTGAAAGGTTTATGTAGGTCCTATATAACTTATATTCCCTGTGTAGGAAAAACCTTTGGACCGAAAACTGGTTAAAAAATTAGATTTTAATTGAGTTCAATTGCACATATTTTTCCGAGTGCATGGAGCTGGGGATATCAATCAAGCCATGAGCGGATCGTTAACTCCGCGGACTCAACTCGTGGCAGCTGGCTGCAGCGGAGAAGTTGGAGTTTTACTATGAGGAGAGAAGGGGGAGGGGAAAAGGGGAGGCGCAAGGGGGAGGAGGATGGGTTGGATGCGATGCAGATGCCCGATTGCGGCGGCATGGCAACTCAAGTCGAGTTGGCAAACAAGGCAATAGCCTCATGTTCGGATCCCAGCTCCTGGTCGCTTTAATTAAAACGAAGACAAAGGGTAAACACTGAGCGGTAGGAGCCAGGAATGGAGTGCGCAAGTGTCTCGATTTGGTCAGTAGGATGCCACTTGGCAATTGATCACAATTATGTCGCTGCAGCAGCGCCATATTGGGCCATCCACCGAGTGGCCCCCCGCCATATTGGGCATCTTGGAAAATTCACATCATTTCCAGCTGACAATTCGGTCAAAGAGTGCAAAAACTTAGCTCTTCAGCTCCAGCTCCAGCTCCAGCTCCTCCATCTCCAACTGGCAATTGGTGAAAGTTTCCAGCGCTCTCGTCACCCGGCTCTTGGCTTTGGAGCATAGATTCTGTTTTTGTGTGGCAAACACAAAGCCGCAGCGGGATGAGGAGGTGAAAAAAATGAAATAAAGTAAGGCATTAATTACTTCCGGAGCGGAGCCGAAAAGACGAAGCTGTGATCCATCGGAGAGCCGGTTTTTTTTTGGGGGGGGGCTCAGAGCTTCGAACCCCGAATAAGACCGAAAAGACCAGTGCTCCAAGAGACCAAGCCCTGAAAAAAGGTCTCCCTGTCAGCGGGTGTTCATCAAAATTCAATTCAGCACCAAAAACTCGGCCCGATCTTCGGTGCTTAACACAGTTTGTTAATCAGTTTTAGTTTTGTTTTGCCTTTTTGGTTTCCCCCTCTCTTATTTTTCGCCACATAATGTGAAAATGAACGCCCTATGCTTCGAGGGAAAAACAGCAACCATTACGAGCATATATACAAATGGGTATTATAACCATAATGGCGTCGGGTTCTGATACCGCGTCGACTGCTGACTTTTCGAAATATTTATTCCAAACGTGCTGAGCCTGACAAAAAGAATTGGAAATTCGGTGTGTGTATGTTTCTGGTTCTGGAAACTCTTTTGCTGCTGCTTCTGCTGCTGCTGTGCTGGGCCTTTTTTCTGGGTTATGATGAAGTGCCTACATGTGTACACGATGTACTGTGTAGTTGCCGAGGTGACTTTAGTGCTGCAATCAGCACAAGTCAACAACTAGGCAACTGGAGGGCGGAGAAAGGTCGCCGGAGGTGAAAGAGGGGAGATACGGCTGTAGACTTCGGATTTCCAATGGGCCCAGTGGTAAATCTGCTGCACCGTGGACTCCCAAATCTCCGGAGAACGGAGAACA